AAAAACTTTAAAAAATGTATGTAAAAATTGTATAATTGTATAAAATAATTAAATAATCCAAAGATAAGATAAAAACAGTGTGGAATATTATAGATAAAGAAACTGGAAAGAATAAAAGCGCCTGTAATGATTTTACATTAAATTTTAATAATAAATTGGTAACGTCTACAAAAGATATTGTAAATATATTTGACAATTTCTTTGCCAATATTCCAATTAATATTATTTCTTCTTTGGATCATCTCCAAGTATAGCTAAATCGTTTCTTATTGATAATATTGTTTCTAGTCCTATTACATTTAAATTTAGATATATTAGCCTAGCTACAATAACAAAAACTTTTAAACAATTAAATTTTAAAATTACGGGAGATCATTGGGGAATGTCAGGGGATAAAACTGAAGTAGGTAATTATAGGCCCATTTCTATATTACCAGTACTAAGTAAAGTGTTTGAAAAAATTATGCTCAAGCAAATGCTTCAACACTTTAAAACAAATAGACTGCTTCACAGTCGGCAATTTGGTTTCAGGGCCAGTAAATCAACTACTGACGCTGGTGTAGCTTTAATGAAACACATTTTGACTGTTGGGACAGGATGCTATCGGTGTATTCTGTGATCTCTCAAAAACATTTGATTGCGTTGATCACGGAACACTCTTACTCAAACTAGAATATTACGGTATTAAAAATGAAGCTCTAAAGATGATGAAATCCTATTTAGATAATAGAATGCAAATTGTTGAAATAAATGGTGTAAGGTCCGAAGTTTACAGTGTTATAATGGATGTTCCTCAGGGATCTATTCTTGGACCCTTTTTATTTTTAGTTTACATTAATGACCTTCCTTACATGGTAGAAAAAATAGCAGACATAGTTCTGTTTGCCGATGATACTTCATTAATATTTAAAGTCAATAGACATATTAATGATATGAAAGAAGTAAACAGTGCTCTCTCTTCTGTTTTAAAATGGTGTACTGCTAATAATATGCTATTAAATGGAGATAAAACAAAGTGTATTAAATTTACGCTCCCCAATGTAAGGAAGGTTGGCTCAAAAATCGTACTGAACAATAAACTTATTAACTTTGTTGATGATACTGTATTTCTTGGTATCACATTAGACCCCAAACTACAATGGGGTGCTCATATTTTTAAATTGGCGAATAGACTTAGTTCTGCCGCTTATGTGGTAAGAAGAATGAGACAATTAACGTGGCAACGTCAACAAACGTGTATTTTACATAGCATTATGTCATACGGTATTTGCCGTGGGACAAAGCAGCTGATATAAATACAGTATTTAAGCAAAAGCCATAATTCATTTATGGAAATGGTCTTTGCGTGAATGTTTTAAAGAATCAAATATACTCACTGTTGCTTCTCAATCCATCTACGAAAATATTATATATGCCAGGAAAAACATTAACCCGTAATGTCAACAAACTAGTTTTACCTAAGTGCCGTTTGACGAAAGTTAGTAATTCATTTTATGGAAATGGCGTAAGGTTTTACAACAAACCCCCAGAAAGAAAATATTTTATGACACATTTGAATTTTTTTTCTGGCAAATTAAGTACAGACCTATTCAAATGTGTCATAAAATATTTTCTTTGTAAAAAAGCTTATTATAAAATTGAAGAATTGAAGAATTTATAAATGATAATAATGTTCTTGTAGAAAATATCTAACTTAAAATTCATAGCTCTGACAATGTTATCTGATTGAACAGAGATTAAGTGCGTAGCGGTTTCTATGTCGATTGTCGCACGCCTAATCCTTGTTGTTAATGTAAATATAAGTAAATCAATATTTATTTAAAAGAGCAACACACAAGTTTCTTGCTTATTCTTCTTGTGATGAATCTGCATTCCAAAAAGCGGTAAAAAAAAACACTTGACTATTCAAAAGTGCCTATATTAAGTTTATTTGAATAAAGATTATTTCTATTCTATTCTATTCTAATGAGCTGTTAGCTCAGTTAACTACAAAACATATAATAAATCATTATGAGTTCGAGTGGAACCTAAATAATAACATCAGTGTTTTGCAAATAACACACAGAATAAAAAAGTAAACTATTTAAACACCGTCGGTGCAAGTGTTGAACAGAAACGCTCAGTAATTACGGACTGTTTGCCGCAAACTTGTTTTATAAAGCGTACAATTTAAGAAATCGAAGCACGTTTTCGATTTCATTTTATTGAATGTGCCATCACATGCTATCCCAAAGTAGCCGATATAAGTCGAGTAGACGGACAATTTGATTGTTATTTGTGATACGACGTGTCGGCGCGATTTCTTACAGTCAATAGTAAGGTAATACAATGTAAAAATTATATAACTTAATCATCATCATCATCATCGCAGCCCGGAAGACGTCCACTGCTAGACTATATAACTTAATAATATGTAAAAAAATTTTATCACATCTGTAATCCAAGAAGATGTGGACAGAAATCTTGCTTACTGTCGATTTTGTAAAGAACGTTAAACTGAACATGCTATTCTATTATACAATATTATATATAATTTTTAATTGTAATCTAAATTACAGTAATTTGTCAGTTTGTGCCTAGATAGTTCAGTCCAACAATTCCACTGCGCTAATTTAAAATATTTTATACAAATATATAAAACTTACTATTTTTAATATAGACACATTAAATGACATTGAAGAGTGTTCTCCATAAACTTATATGAACGTAGACATTGTTTAATGAAATGAATGAAAACGTCTAAGTATATTATTAACTTTTCTTTTATTTTTACATCTTAAATTTTATAGCTAGTCTACATGCGTTTTTTATCTCTTTTATTTGTCTATAAAGTGATGACAAATAGAGCTAAAACAATATGGAATGGAACGACCGTAGACTCTCTCATCAATCTGGGCTCAGAACTAAACAAACCTCTCGTAGATTTATTCGTCAGATGTTAAAATGTCGACGAACCTAGCAAAGGGCCCGGACCGGGCGTCTTAAAACTTTTTCAATACTAATCTTTGCCAGACTCAAACTAAGTAACTGGTGTTGGTGTATTACTACTTATATTCTATTCTATAGTAGTGACCAACCACGAATTCGCTTTTTTATGAATTTGATAAAAAAATACAGGCAATACTGTTGATTTCTGTAGCCAAATTTTTAATATTTTCAACTTTATCCATTATTATAAGCCTTATCATAATCTTTATAATATTAGTACCTGTATTAAGAATAACTAATCGCTGTAAGTTATATATAAGTTACATACTCATCATATGTATAATTATTTCTGAAACCTACATGTAAGTACATCATGTATTCTACAGATTAATTCAATAACCGTTTCGATACTAAAAGTTCGCAGTACCTAAGGCAGTACCTACCGCAGCTTGATGTTAATAATAATTCCTCATAATATTGCAACTGTTGTAAATTACATCAAAGATTAATGACGCCATTAACATGAATTAATATAGACATAACTGAAAATTTAAGTCAAGAAGTCTGTACTTGCATTAAAGAAATGTAAACCCACACAATAACGAGTTGCAAATTTCTTAATACATCTATATACATCACACTTATGCTGCCATATAATATATAAGTTTAATTATTCAACCTAATTAACTTGGTTTGATAATACAGCTATCTTAACTCAAACCAATATTTATAGTGTTTTATAGCTTCTCATTTTTCGTCTAAATTATATATTGACCGTACATTATGTTTCTTAATTCAATCTATATACTATTACAAGTATTGAAGATTGCTTGTTTAAGTATTTTTCGAAGCCTTTAGAATATTATACGAAGAATATTTTAAATTAAAATTTTCATCAATGGAATCTTATACCAATGTAGCTATTGTATATATCTATCTTTGTAAATTCAAACAATTTAATATATTTATAAAATTAGGATTGATGCAGATAAAACATTTGACAGTTAATATCAAGTAAGCCTACTATAGCTACGAATCAGGCAGATATATTAACATTAATCCTAACATATAATAATAACTATAGTAACTACTTTATTATAAGAGTACTCGATACATACTTTTCAAAATCTACACAGATATTATAGTTATCCCTCATAGTCTACTATGCATTTAAAGGTCAATAAAATTAAAATAAATTATATATCGCCTTAAGCAAAAACCTATTGACATAATATTCACTATTATTATCGTTGTATAGTCTTTATTATATTAATTTGATAATTAGGCACACTTTACCTTTAATGAGGAAGTAATCATCCAAAAAACGTGACAGCAGTCACGTTCTTTTGTAATTTTAAGGTTAGATATATTTAACAAAATGTACCTTTTATTTGATATCCGGAGACCTTACTACTTTGAGATTATAATGACGATCGATGATGATGTTGGACTTCAAAATAAAAAAAAAATCTTATGTATTTTTTTTAACCAAAGATGTATTTCTTATAAGTTAGGGTTCAATAAAGAACACACCCTTTTTTTGATCAGAATTATTTGGAAACGTAACAGATTAAACATTGGTAAATAACTTGGGTTTATATATCCTCATTTTACATATTTTTTTTTTAAATAAGTATATTCTATTACATAGAATATACTCTAATTTCCACGTAGTCACTTAGCTTACATAACTACTATTCCAGTCGTCCGGAAACTGAAGTGTATGATTTAACTTTACCGTAATAGACTTAATACTAAGTGGTCTGCGTGGATATCACAATCTCGCTGTCCCTATCGCCAAGCTGATTGCTAAAACGGAATAGTAAAACATAAGGAATACATCAAGCATGATGACGTGACGTCCGTGATATATTTAATATATATAGGCCATGTTTGCCACTGATTCATCAGCATGTTTGGCATTGCAAAAAAATAAAATAAAACAGGCATTAACTAACATGTTCCGAACCACATGCGGATTAGTTCAGCTATCAGTTTAGTAGTTCAGTTCAGCTATCAAATATTAGCAACCAGAATACTTTTATAGAATTTCACCAATTGTCTTGTTTCAGGATGCCTAGGCGCATTATCAGCTGGAGTGGCACTCGCGCTGTCGCCAGTCACAGTAGCGCTGTGTGTGCGCAAGTCAACCCGCGTTACCGCAGTAGTCGGAGGGCTGGTAGCCGCTCTCGGCTGTCTCTTTACATCCTTTGCCACGCAATTCCACCAACTCTTCTTCAGTTATGGTCAGTACGAAAGTTTGGTACCTGTTTTTTTATACCCCTATATTAGTCGGGATTATTAATTATTACACATATAGTACAACAAATCTTAATGTACAAGTTATAGTTATACGCAATATACCTATAAAATATATATCAAGGCAACTTTACCCAAAATTTTGAATAGTATTTAGATTATTTTATATATAATTGTATTTTATATAAAAAAAATAATCTGTAAAGGATATAACAATTTGTATAGGGTTTTATATTAAGAGAAAAAACTTGTCATTACCATCATAAATTGTTTCCTCGAAGTACTAATTTTAAACTTGTATTTAAACATATAGAGATTTTTATTTTCAGATCGTTACAAAAGATGTTGCATAAGAACGAATTTATATCGTTTTTATTCCAACAGATTTGATATCTACTGTAAACAGGCAACCAAAGTTGCCCACAATCGTATTACAGGAATTGAGGTTGTTAGAACAATTTTCAAATTTACATCCCAAACTACGATGTCGAAAACAAATCTGATTGGCTGCGGCAACATTACCGAATAAGGACCATCAAGTTTTATTCCTTCACGTTTCTCAAACTTTCAGCTCTTGGTCGTAGTAATATCGGATTTTAACATTTCAAACGTATCACAGAATAAAGTCTCATAGAAGTGCAATTCGACAAACAGCATCTACTGCATAAATGCAAGTGATAAGCTTACTGTATCTTCAAGAATATTACATCGGCGGCGTTCACAAGCCGGCATTACCATTTAAATTGAGTTGGTGTGACTTAGAATAGAATAGAAAAGTATTTATTGGTATTATAATACTAGTATAATAGTTGCATATAAATTAAAGAACTAGTGAAGGATTTTGTACAAATTCGTCTATTTGGGTTACTTTATTTTACTTAATTCTGTCACTAGAAGCTTGCGTTGTAATTTGTATTCGTTTTGTGTAAAGATTAAAATATAATAGTGAAATAAGTGGCTCGGAAACCGTTTGCCATTCCAATTAAATCATCCAACAATTTTACCTAAGAATTCCTATCAATATACCTGCTAAAAATAATAAATAATACTGATTTTATTTATTGTGAACTACAATATATTTCTGAGCGTCCTGAACACAAAATAGTATTATTTTTAAAGAGTTTTACCTACGCGCGGTTATACGATATAAACTTCAACTTCACATATCTTTTTTATCCCAACATTCAAAATAACGTCATGCAATTCATAGAAACTGCCACGTGTGCACTGCCTGGATTGCTAAAATCGCATGTAACTGCACAAGTGGTTTATATCAATAGTATTATTTACTAAAGACTGAAAATATTAGTAAATATTAATTGACTTATCCTTGTACATTGTAGAAATATCACTAAGATTATGTTGTGTAATTTTTCTACAATATTGATGTGAACCCTAACAGTTGTTAGTTTACAACATTATTCTTTATATTTTTATAAATATTGTGCTGTTATCTTAAAATATATTAAATGGTAAATCTGTTATATCTGAAAAAATATAGTGAATATGAGATTGCATATTCCCTATATTTTTTCAGGGTTATAGTAGGGTGAGAGATTAATACAATGAACTGATACCGTATTCATAATACAAATAAGATCGTAATAAGGAAAGAAATTTATCAAAAAAATGAAATCTAGCTCAAAAATTGAAAGTGGTGGACTGAAAGAATGTCGTATAAAAGATTAAAAAATGAAATGTACCATAAATAATAGGGTAATGCAGAATCTACTCGTATATGGCGCTTTGATAGGTATCCGTGAAATCTAAGATTTTGCGATATTTGATCATATTTTTTTTTAATTTTACATGTTGCGAAGGATAGACAAATTGAGAGTCTTCACTCTTCTTAATCGTTCCCTCACTGCTGAGGATCGCAACTCTACATTATCTTGTCGACCAGCTGTCGCCATCGGTTGTGCTCAGATGTCTGGTCTAGTGCGGCGCTAACAGTAATATTTAGCTGATGGGATTCCTGGTCTGACAATCATATGTGACTTCGACCTCGAGGATCCTCGAAGCAGAAGTCTCTACAAGTCTCTGAAAATGCTCAGAGAGTACTAGAATATACTAACTTGATATGAGACCCCTGTACATTGCCACGTTGTGGTCGTAGACTATGAATAAAAGCTAAACGAGGCACCATGACAGCAATGGCACCGCTGATACCTTTTTAATGCAATAGAGGCGGAAATTGCTGTGAAAATAGCAGTAAATTACAGTAACTATATTTTACATATTGTTTAGAAATATGCTGAAATTAATTCAAAAAATTGTATAGAGCTAAATTATTTTTATAATAATACCTATGATTATAAATCCATATAGAGGTTAGTAGAATATTATGCATACTAGCCGTTTACCAACAAGTAATAAGAGACACATAAAATATATGTACCTTTTTATACTGTATAAAAATAACTGAAATAAACATTACTCATTCATACGTTTTACAGTGTATATTGGTAGAGTTATTTATATATCAGATTTAACTATTTCGGGGTCAAACATAATATATATATTTCTCTAATACATTTAAGTATACCGCAATTATATTTTATTAAGCTCCCACTCTGTTTTCGTAAAACTGGAGGTCTGATAAATCATTTTATTATATTATTCCTTATCCAGATGGACAGCGGCTTGTCAATATATGAATGAAATTATAGATTCCATGAATACATTTACCAAGTTATAACTTATATTTTCCATTTTCATAGTTCAACCAGTCACGTAGGTATTTTCATAAAAAAAATGGGCGTCAGTATTATTCATTTTATAGAATTATTATTAAGAATGCGACGCAATGTAACGACTTTTTTTTTTAAATAGTAACCATTCCTATGTATACAATTAGATATCAGCAATAGCTGTTTGCTGCGTGAACTCGGGAATTAGTATAGAATAGAAATAGAATTGAAAACTTTGCGAGTTCAGTACATATTAACACAATATTTAGACTATGTCGTCATGCGCCAGAGTACCTTTCAAACAGTAAAAAGAATCTCAGTGGTACCTGGTGCTACTTTCCTCCTCCTTATAAAATCAAATCTCTCTCTTTTTAACATTAGTTACAGGTATTGATAAGTATAGATGAAGATATTCGCTGGCTTAGAATGGGTGTACATGTATTATACATATAAATCTTCTCCTTAAATCAATCCGTCTATTGATAAAACTTTATTAAAATCCGTTGAGTGTTTTAAGAGACTAAGGGGAGAGACAGCGGATGCGACTTATTTGTATACTATGTAAAGATAATATAAGAATACAAAATATACACAGAACATATTATAGTATAGACGGTTGTTACATAGAGTAAGCTAATTCAAACACCGGGTGATTTGTTAGCGTGTCAAATAAGCGTTCCCCCTTCTAAACTTTGATAAGCGGTAATATCCTGAAATGAATGACTCCGCCTTAGTTCTCATGCAGAAAGTAACATTGACTTTGCATTAGTCAACAGAACTATTTAAGTAACTCAAAATTTACTGTGTCACTAACAACTCTATTTCAAACTATGTTGATACGACTTATACTTAATTTGAGTTTGACAAGAAATGAAATTAAAATTTGATGGAGTGTCATTGATTTTCGGAATGGGCCTGCCAGTTATAGTGTTACTTAAGTACCTTAAAGCTTAGTAGATAAACTATTTTTTATTATCAGTTGAAAAGGATAATATTTCCAATTTAGTAGTTTTTTTTGTATAATACAATAAGTACCTATATAATTCTAATAAAAATCTACCAATATAAAATAATGTTAGTTTTAAATAGTAACATTATTTTAAATTGGTTGATTCTACTTCTGGAACACTAATACAATACATATGAGAATATCTGTTACTGCTAGACTTGAACCTACACAGAAAAAAGTGTGTCTTTTTAAAGGAATTCAAAAATAAATATAAAACCGGTTCTGTGTAGTAAAACAAAACTTTTATCCAACCTCAACAGCGGCTTAACGTTTTTCAACAAATATTTATTTTTAATAATATATAGTTTAAATCCTCCTCCTACCTGGATGATGATTGTATCTTACAACGAAGGCGACGTGCTAAGAAATAACATTATTTATAGTCCTGTACAATAAAGATGTCTTCTCATACATCAATCTTTCATACATTGACATCAAAATTCCATACATCGAAATGCTTAAACACAAACTAACGGGGTTATATGTTACATGTCTAAAGATCGTATGACTGATAGATGTTGAAGATCTGAGACGTTCGTAAATATCACTGGAATCTTTGCTGCCGCTACAAAACACTAGCAACGTTTCGCCGTTTTTATGACATGATTCACAGTGTAGTATTTACAACTGACTTTATTCATTGAACGTCTCTCTATTCGACTATTTTTTAAATGTTTGCCCCGTGATATTTTCAACAATTCAGAACCGATGTTATGAAAATTAATCTTATTGACTGATTTTGTTATTATAGTCAGTCCTTTATGTGGAACAGAATTTTAAAGTTTATTGCAGTCTAGACCTACATCAAGAAAATCGGATATCTTAATTATACTTAAGTTGCTATGTTATATATGACACAAAGTTAAAATACTGATTCTGAACTCTGATTTATTCCGGTTGTGACTGGCGCAGGATAAAGACTATTTTAATTAAATATCAAACAATAATTATGAACATGTATATTTCCCAAAAGGGCTCATAGCGAAGAGATAAGAACAATCAAAAGAGAAAAATAAAAAATAGATATCAAAAATACAAATTTTATAAAAAGAATGGTAGGCAAGCTGCCAGCAACACCTGTAATGAGGAAATGACAACTTTAAAAAACATTTAATATTTAACTTAATATATTATAACTACCTAGTATGAAAATACTATTGCATATATTAATTTGTGTAATATTCAACAAATCTAACTGTCCTCGATAAGATAACTAAATGGGAACGGAGATGACCGGCTACATTGCACGAAATTGCCTCGTATTAACCGGATGTCATCACACTAAACTGATTCTTTATACTTTGTTTCTATAAAATAAATTAAATGTACCGTCACGGCTGTTATTCTGTATGGGATGGTCAGAGACACTGCCAATTCGTGACGTTAATCCAATATGACCATATCTAGTATTCATTTGGTTTTGTATTGGTGGTCCAATAACGAGGAGTTATTTAGTAATATAAGTTCACCCACTAATAATACACGAATAATTAGGATGTGGCATACATTCTACTTAAAAAGTTTAGTACTTACTTTAGTAATAGTGTTTCCAGGCACCGGTTAACATCGAAAACTCTGTTATTATAGGAATTTGATAACTAAGAGTTAACATTCACAGCCTATGTTAATTAATTCCTTCCTAAAAATCGAGATTGTCCAACGTAGTTAATAAAACCTATCAATTGGTGAATACATAGCATAGCATAAAAGATAGTACAAAACACGAAATAAGTATAATTATCTACTTCAGTATTATTGTTCTTTGTTATATATACTTTAGTACTTCCAATCGATGTTATTGTAACTGACTACTAATACATATGTTCTTTAATATATATTGTCCTTTCTTTACTGTATGTTACAACTAAAGTATTTTCTATCTATCTATCTATCAACAATGTCCAAAGTTAAGACTACCTAAAATATAGCAAATTTGTAATACATGCTGTAGGTAAAATGACATCACGATACAAATTGTGAATTTGCAAAGTCCTTGTACAGTTAGGTATAGCCGATATACTATGCAAACTAATTCCTATGATGATGACGAGTCCAATGATATTAGATATCGCATCGATATATCGATAGCTACGTATTAATTCCATATTTTATGCTTAATTAAAGAACTAACTTACGTTGTTATTGATTGGTATTATTTAATCTTAATTACATTTGAAACTAACGGTATAGAAATGGATTGGGTTGAAATCGATTTTGAGGTAGGACTCCAGAGTGGAGGTCTATCGGCCGCGTTGTGTGTGAGCTAAGTCGGGAGCTAAACTATGTGATTTAGCTGTAATAGTAAAGTTTTGCATTTGTATCTAAAGAGTGAGCATTACAGGGACGGTGGTAGGTGTGGGAGTGGGCCTGACCCGAGACTGTTCTACACTAATGGTGGCACAGTACTTCAAAAGAAGACGCGAGCTCGTCGAGATCTTCGTCGTGAGCGGCAGCGGTCTCGGCATCGCCGTTATGTCCACCTTCATCAAAGGCGCTATAAGGTGATAACTGCATATTGAGAAACAATTATTACTACGTTATTTCAAGTAACGAGGATTGCCAACCTTAAAACATTTAACCTTGTACAAAGAACTCAATCTCATATAATTTACTTAATTTTGCTTTCTATCCTCGTTGATCCTTGAATTTTATCCTAGAATTTTAACCGATTTTCGTAAGTCAAAATGTCGTATGAGGATAAAAATGTACCGAAGGCTAAAAGTCTCGTAAATGTAGATACCACAATTCCCATACGGTTGGTATCCCTGCTACAAACTTTCATTCATTTGAAGCGCTTAAATATAATTAATACTATTTTTTTACTTATTATTTTTATATAAAATATATAACGTGTATAGTTTTGTGCTATAAGCTTTTGCCCGCGGCCTCGCTCGCGTTAATTTATCTCCTTTGGGGTGGTATTTATCAAAATCCTTTCTTAGGAAATGCCTACGTCATAGTAGATTTATGCATGCCCTCAAGTCTCAGCCCGATCGGTTTAAAATTGACAAAGTTTCATACAAACTTTCATCCCCTTGGGAGTAGAATTAATCCTTTCTTAGCGGATGCCGCCTACATCCGCATAACATCTACCAGCATGCCAAATTTCAGTCCGATCCGTCCAGTGGTTTGGGCTGTGCGTTGATAGATCACTATGTCAGTCATCTTTGAGTTATATATATATAGATAAGTAAATATTTTTTGTTGTAATTAGATACATATTTTTTTCTACTCAGTTAAATCTACTTCTTTATTTTACCGCAACAGTCACAATATTGTGGCGGTAGAATAATAAAATGACTATACAAATGTACAAAATTAAGTTAATTACAGTAATGATTATGTCAAAAACATAATCAGTGCAACCACCGATACTACTGGTCCTCCAGTTGTCGAAATTCGACTATAAAAAAAAATATAAAAAGATCTTTGAACGAGCAATAGCACTTAAATAAAAGAGTGTGTGACATGGTAGTGTGTGATGTTTTTTTATTTAATTCATGTATTTTAAGCATAATTAAAAAAATATTGGCATTCTGCACTCCTTTTAATAAACTATAAGTTTGCGAAATTTCATACTCATACATTCTTAATTACAGAGCAATCGGTTGGCGACTGGGTTTGCAAGCTGTAACAGGAGTAGTATTCGTAACATTCATATTGGGCACCTTCTACCGATCAGCCTCTTTGTACCACCCACAAAGAAGAGCCATACTCCATCTCAAAAATCAGAATAAAATCAAACGGAAGATGAAGGACAGGAACAAAAGTGATGATAGACAACCATTCTTTGACTTCTCCACTTTAAAATCTAAAACAGTCAGGATTCTGCTCATGTCAACAGGGATATCAGCATTTGGAATTAACACACCGATATTTTATTTAGCGTACCATGCGGAACAAGAAGGTAAGGTGACATCTTAGTATTTTTTTTATTTGCGCATTTAATGTCTTGATCTTCGTAGTTCCATCAGAGGAGTCACAAAGTTCGTGTAAAAAGCCATGAAATCTACGACCTCTCCAAGTAGGGCACTTAAATTTTATTGTTGTTATTTATTTACGTACACATAAATGTGACCACCACCGAGGGGCTGACTTAAAAATTGATATTGGTGTAATGTAATATTACCCTATAATAACCACAAAGCATACAACGGGATTAGGCATATCTACACGCTACTGTAATAATAATATAGAAATTATTTAGGGTTTTATACATAATTATGAGAGAAGTTATGACAAATAAACGAGAAGACATAAATATAAACTCGCTAATGTTTAAATTTACAAAACCAGCTTTATAATATGCACATTTATGAGTGTGGTTTATCATAGCTTTTTATTTACAATCATTACACCTGAAAAGCGGAATATTTGAATGCGGATGAATTCATTTAAAACGTCTGTTTTGTCCAATTGTCTTTTTGTGTGTACAAAAGTACTTAGATATATTGATATTTTACGATTATAACGTAACATATCTATAGGCAAAAAAAATTAAAAGTCCCCACGAAAAGCAGAGAAATGCTAAAAAATATAAGAATAACCTTATTGTTTAAAACTTTTATTATTCATCTACTTCACCCCATATAATGAGAACCACAGAAATTTACTGTTGGAATGAAAGTCAGTGATGCATAAAATGGAAAAGTTTCCTTTATAATGACTAGATATATGCGAAGACTTACTTTTCAGATACTTGTGTTCATTATTTTGTATTTCATAAACATTCGTAGGGGTATACGTAGGTATTAATAATTATTAAGGTCGGTTATAATTATATTGTGAAATTCAGAGAAACAAATTGATTGCAATTTTCTTTTAACAAATATATATACCTATCTAATTATATTTATATACTTTAGTATATCGTTACTGTAAATAAAAATATTTATTTATTCTTATTTTATTTTGGCCACAGAGAAATTAATATTATCATTATTCATTTCATCCTAAGAAATGTTCTATAACTCATTATTTTAGCCCATCTTATAACCGGAATAGAAAAATATCAGAAAAATTGTTTCTTCATTTCTTATTTTATTAATGTCAAGAAATTAACAGGTATGTATAAAAAAGAAGCAATGTGTTGAAAAATCAATGTGGCTTGAAAAGTAATTGATCGTTAGAAATACCTACTACGGTCTTAATAAAATTCCTGTTGCTTACAATGCGTTTAAGCAATTACTTGAACAGATTGTATATTGTAGATACATATATAAAATTCTTATTCATAAGGACGTACGATCGTTACGACGTTACAATCGTAAACATACGTACCCAGATGACAAAAGGTTATATCGCTATATCTATATATAGTAGATATCTAATTTCACAATACTATTTTTATAATAGTTCAGTGCAATAGCATATTAGTATTCAGTGCGTAATGCTCTATGGTCTTAACTTTTCACTTGCAAGAGAAACACCGGAAAACATTAACTGTCTCTTAACAAGTATATATAAAACAATAATCCCCCGCGAACAAGAATACATTAAGTATCATATACCTCACTACCTACTTAACATATCGAGAGTACTCTCACCAGTCTCCGATTGGGGGCGATTGAACTTAGTCAATTCAACCCCACCAAGACACAAGCCTGCGCGTTCACCGCTAAGAAAACCCCTTTTGCTGTGGCTCCGCAATTCCAGAACACGTCCATTACCATCTCTAAGAGCATTGGGATTCTCGGTGTCGACATCCCTAGCACAGTTGAGTTCCGTAGTCACCTCGAAGAAAAGGTCAAGCTCGCCAGCTTGACCTTTTCTTCGCCTCGCTCTATTCAGCACACCGAGCTTTTTGGACGCCTCCAAAAAGCTCGGTGTGCTGAATAGAGCGAGGCGGTACTTCACTGCGAACCAGAGACTTCTATTGTATAAGTCGCAAGTTCGGCCGCACATGGGGTACTGCTCTCATCTTTGGGCAGGAGCACCTGGATATCAGCTCGGTCCTTTTGACTCGGTTCAGAGACGTGCTATGAGAATTGTCGATGATTCCAATCTCTCAAACGGTTTGACATGGTCTCAAATTGTTTGACATGATGCCTACGGCTACCTTTTACCATCGCACCGCTCGCCATCGACAGGGAATTCGTCCCCACACGCTGGAACCTAAGTGGTCTCGGACAGTGCGGTTTCAGAGGAGCTTCCTCCCGCGTACACTTAGATTGTGGAATGAACTACCTGCCGAGGTTTTCTCGAGAGACTACAGCATGAGGTTTTTTAAGAAGGGTATATTAAAGTTTCTTAAGGGTCGGCAACGCGTATGTGACACCCCTGGTGTTTCAGGCATCCATAGGCTACGGTAACCGTTTACCATCAAATGGGCCGTATGCTTGTTTGCCACCTAAGTGGTATAAAAAAAACATACAGAGTACATTTACAAAGAGTATCGCGTACTGTTCTGGCGGAATACGAAACTGATATATATTAAAATAGAAGTATTTAAAGAAATGAGCAGCGGAGCTGATTTTTATCTCTACAAAAAGTAACTTCGTCATCAGGAATTCGAATTACTGCACGTCAAACGTTGTACTCTCGCTAGATGAATCACAGTTATTTACAATCTTAGTATCCTTTTACCTCAAGATTTTTTGTATACCTACATATAGATATACCGTTATTCGCAAAATATAACGTATAGTTTTGCACAAGATAGATATTGCATAAATAAATAAAATTGTAGGTAATCAATATGGAAAGCTAGCTATCTAGGAACTACAATTTCTACCAGTGTAGGTACTAAAAATCTCTATAAATCTCTACTAAGTAGCTATGTAACTGTGTTTACTAATTTAATGAACGTAAATATAAAACAAACTTGCAAATTCATACTACGCTAATACAAACTATGTCTAATAGTTACTTTATTACTAGACTAGACACATACTTGGTCACAATTGTATTATTGGCAACAAAAACATTTATAGTTACGAGTATAGATTACCGATATTCTGTTATCGTGGCAGGAGCCTTTACATCTTCGTGGTAGTCAATTAAATAACGTAATATGGACACAGCTTGTATACAACACATACTCGTATGTATAAACTAAATATACTTCTCATCTTCATGATCGTTCTCTCACTACTGAGAATCGCGACTCTACACGATCTTGTCAACCAGCTGTCGCCATCGGTTGCGCTCAGACGCCTGGTATAGTTCGGGGCTAACAGCATTCATCTAACTGGATATCTGGTCTGACCATCGAATGAGACTTCGGCCTCGAGGTCTTTTACATTATTTTAAATATACTAAATTAATGAAATAAAAAATTAACATAAAATTTCAGGCTTAGGAGATACAGCAGAACTGCTTCAGGCCTACTTGGGCCTAGCCTGGGCGGTGGGATGTGCGGTTTTTGGATTACTTGTACGGCAGAACTCGGCCGAATGCCGAATAGCCCGGCAATATTTAACACAAGCGGCAGTATTTGTATGTGGTCTAGCGACTATGGCCCTAACTGCTGTTGAAGGCTCTTACAGGGGATATGTTATGTTCGCTTGGATCTATGGTAAATACAATGCAAGTATAGGAGGCTTTCATTCCATTTTCATTATCATTTTAATATCTAGATATATACTAAGTTGATGATAATTGCGAGTAGGTACATCCATTTGTAATAAACTTTGATGCACAGACCCGCTTCTAGAAAGAGAATATCTAAAAAAGAAATATTTCTTTGCAACATACCTCAGTAATCAAAGGGAACCCTAGCTTTAGAATTTTTGACTCGTGGAAGTTAGTCATCCTAACCAATTTAAAATGTCAAGAATACGAAACAATCAGTCGATTGAATAACTAATTAAAATATAATAAGGCATATCATACATATAGAAGAATATAAACCATGTAGATTATACATATCTTTCTATGTCAATCAGTCACAAGATCGATCAAATCGCACATTTGTTTTGCTAGGCCGTTTTTAATTTATAAGTGCGAGAAACCATCTTATTTAATTCAGTTTATTGCTTATCGATTTTCATTAGTAATAAGAAAATGACTATAAGTACATAATGATAACTTTATTGTCGGCTATACAGGTATATTTTGCGGTGGATATCATTATTCGTTGAAGATGTATACCTATGAACGAGTTCGCTCTCGAAACTTCGCGCGTGCATGGGGGTTTGTACAGTGCTCACAAGCTGTACCTATAGCTATTGGAGTACCACTTTCAGGTAAGACTCACAAATTGTATTGCCATCACAAGGAATTATAAAAACTCAAACAATACTTGACTGTTTTTTTAAACCTTTCACCTAAAAAGTCATAAACAAACTATTCAAAAATATTGAGTCATTAGCACCTGTGCAGCGCTGGACTAGGTTACGAGTTTCAAGTAAATAGTTTTTCTTGAGAATTTATACCTCAGTAAACGCAAAGGATATTAGGTATGTTAGAGATATGTATTCTTGTAGAAACTAATTTGTTTTTAAATGCTCCACGTATAAAATACACTAATTGCTACTTTCTTAAATTATTAAAAATTATTTCTCTGCTAAAAAAAATAGAGCTCAGATTTCTGAGATTTCTCCATTAATTTGCGCCAGAATAAATACCATGCTTAAGCTTGAACAACATTGGTAAATAAATGAAGCGCTTTTAATAAATTAAACAAAACGCCACGACACCTTCGCTTCGTAAACAAACATGCCTCTGGAATTTACAAAGCACATAAAGAAAAAACACTCATCAGGTGTCCAACACGCATGAATTGGGTTCCGTAGCCATACCTGCGTTTTAATTTTTTGCTCATTATCAATTTGACATTACAATACTGAATACTGATACAGACAAGTTTGAAGGTGTCAACACGAATTCCAAAAACAAAATTAGTAAGTTACGAGGTAGTTCTCATTGTGACACTCCAAAAACCCGTTACTTGAAATATAAGGGTTTATGTAGGTTTTTTAAGTATTATGAGTAGGTAAGTGATTTATTGTACCTACTACAAATACAGTGTAGGTAGACTAGTGGAGCACCATTGAGGAGCAAGAAGATCAAGTCGATTAGTTAATGGTGGTCAATTATCAAATATGGTTTGTACCATAATATATGGTGCATTGCTAAAATGCAACGAATAGTCCCGTTAAAATCTTTCGCGCTTCAATTATCAATTAATTTTGTATGCTTATATATGTTTTCAGGATATATAAACGTGGGATGTGGTGGCAAGGCAGGCTACTACTTCAGTTCTACATGCTCGCTTATTGGTTCACTGTCACTCTTTTGCATTGATCTACATCGGCGCAGCGTAGCGCATAAACAAACCAAGTCAGTATGCATTTTATTGTATGGTAATCTAATCATTAGAGAACTTGGATACCATATTATCCGCTTCTAAAAAAAGGAAGTCTCAATTCTATTCAGTGCATGTTATCTGATATCTTCAACAAACCTGAACAGTTTTTTTTATTATTTAACAATACATCTGGTATACTTACTTGTCGCAAATTGGATGTTAAATATAATTATTAACATAATAACAATAATAATAACCACGGACAATTCACACAGCGCCATCTAATCCCAAACTCAGTAGAAATTCTTATATAGATACATTTTTCTAAAGATCTACCGTGATGCATGATGTCTGATGAGTATGAAATATCCATTTCTACTAGTCCCTATTAATAACAATCCCCTCCTCTTCGATTAGGGCAACTAAATACAAATACACTAAGATTCTTTCAATTTTTCACAAATTTATTTAAATATTAAATTTCAGAGAAAATGGCGGAAGTACACTGTGTGAGACGGTAGTGGGAGGATCAACGCGTCGCAGCCACTCTCGCGAAAGAGAGCCTCGTACCGCCACGGGCGCCGCCACCGCTTTAGGTTGGTAAAGTCATAATAAAGGTATATGTAGAACAATGCAATTTCAAAAGTTAAAAATAATTTTACTAACTTATATGTCAATAATAAAACATTTTTATCGAAAAATCAGAATGATAAAATGGATGGAAATTAAATTAATGTCCGTCTCGAAGGACCAAGATTGTTTTCCGCTTACGTATCAATTTCAAAGAGATTGACAATTATATATTTTCGAAAAAAAGGAAACGTCTAAATAGTTAATATATGATAAATAGCACCACGAAAATGATACATTGACAACCCCCATACGAAGCACTACCATACCTACGGAATAGTGTGTTATTCTTCTATACCTAGCATTTTTATTAGGTATAACCTATAAACCAGAATACAAATTATGCCTCACTTATTTTTGCCAGCAACAGCTAATAGGATACAGTGCGATAGGTAGCCACTTCCTGTGACACTGCAGTGTTTAGATCCAACTAAATTTTCTTTTTTTTTTGTGGATCAAAATGTACTTGTTATTTAATCAAGTCATTTTAGTTTTAGGAGCAGAATTAATAGCACCAGGCAGAACCGGTCGTGATCTACTTCTGGACAGCATTGGTCCGGGTAGCCTCGGCTCCCCTCCAACCAACATACCCCCGGAGCTAACATGCATTAGTGAGGAGGGAGGGCTAGATTTGGACCTGGATTTAGATATACCGGAGCATCTCTTAGAGGATTTAGATTGCGGCGGTGACTGTATCACTAGTTGTAATAAGGTATAGTGTAAAGGGAAATCGCCAAAGATCAATCATTCTGTTTTTTCTATTGTCAAGTAAACTAAACACTTATTTAACATAACAGTAGTTATCAACATCAAACTATGAAAACTACGTATTGGTAGTTTTCATTAAACATACACACTGTAACAACACAAAAAACTTATTATATATATATATCATACGATATTTCGTATGATATATATATATAATAAGTTTTTTGTTTGTATTACTTTTTTATACAGCAATAAACACAATATAAATGTCTTAAGACATGAAATACTACTTATCCCATTAGTAGGATTTCTTTTTATATTTTTTTAATTATCTTGTTAATTTCGGTATATACGGTATATCATAATAATAATTCAAATAAACATTCGAGTTATTATGATGATACTATATATGAATGTTTTACAGGTTGAAAACTATTTAATGCTGAGCGAGTATGAAAACAACCTGATAGCGGAGCTTCCCAATATGAACGAGCGTCGCCACAGACGCTGGTCGATAGTAATGGCCAACTCAACACAGCAATCCACCATCCCAGAACAGCACTCCCCGGAGCATACCAAAAACTCCATCAAGTGGAAGAAAAAGTGCCATAACGCAAACAACAGACTGATCACAGTGATTAACGAAGCGTCACTATAAATTCCTAGTGAAATAATATTGAGACAATAAATAGAAAGTACCTAATTGATAGTGTATGTACCTATTTAACCTCATTAATTTATTTGATGTGTGTGATGAGTAGTATTTGTGTATTGTTCAATATAATTTATTAAATTATTATGAAACATTGACTCGTTTTCTTAAATTACAACTTAACAAATAATCCGCTCTACATAACCGAATTGTAAATATGTAAGTATACTTCAATTATAGTATGTCACTACTACTTTAAGCATAAATTATTACTACCTTGAACTAAAGAATTATTCTGCATGCTCTGATTAAACACACTCGTTCCAATTTACATAATTACGAATTACGTGTAAACGTAATATCGTACTTCACCGTAATTACAGTAGGAGTCAAGGTTACCCAATAAAACGGTAAACACAATGTATGATACTATTTTAATAAAATACTGCATAATACATTAGAGTATAAAGGAACACAATTTATCATTAAAACGTAATTATAAAAAAACCGGAAACTATAATAGTGCTGAAAATAGAGTGCACGAAACTAAATACTGCGCTCATTTCTAACCAGCCAGTAGGTACCTACAATATATTGCGAAATATGTCAATATATTCTTACAAATTTTGTAAAAATATATTTTGTAAGTATAATAATTGATACATTTGTTTATATGGAATAAATATTTTCTTTCTATTTTTTAATGACAGTTTTACATGTCACCTTTTCATGGGAAGGCGCACCTCAGGTTTTTTTATATATTCATTAAAGTAGATAATTATCGTTGAGGAATAACAATGTCCTCTAGAAACTGGGCGAAACAACGCATCGCCTGTAGTATAGCAGCAAGTAATATCGACAGAGATAAACTCACCAACTTCTGATTTTCTGTATTCACAATTTCGTTGTTTAGAACAGGAACTAAACTTTGGCTTGTATCTAAGCTATGTATACTAGAAGGATCACAATCGACGTTGCTTGTATTTGTACCGCCAACATTTCGTTCACGATTAATCGACTCACAAGCATCATTAACATCACATGTCAGATCTATCACAATAAAATCGGAAACTTTACTATCACTGTTTCCCGTGGGTAAGTCAGATTCTTGGTCCGGAGCTAACCCGGCACTGTCTATACCATCACTATCAACACTTACACTAGTTATATTGTATGAACAACATGGAATCTCATTCCAATGAGGTTCACTAGTTAGGCACTTCGTTATTACGTCACACTTATCATCTAATACAGATCTTACAATATTTATCTTATTATTATTAGCATTTATGCTTAACTTTAAAGAGTCCTCATTTTCCTCTGATGACATACCACTGTCATTGTCAACAGCTTCGTCTCGTTCTTGACTTTTACTGTGGTTTTCTTTGTTTTTCAAAGCTTTGATTTCCGTATGACCAAGACTGCCATATGAGGATGCCACAACAGTAGGCTGTAAGATCGTGCCCGATCGTGCGGGCACGGCCTCTGGTCAAGAGATTTTGCCACAGCTAATATTACCCTTTATGACTTTTGTGTTTGAGTTCAACTCTTGAGTCCCATATATACTGTTCACATCACCTAATGATGTAGTATTTAAAGAGCATGCATCATCCAAAAGATACTCTGACCTTAATCCCTATAAAATAGAAATACAAAATTTGTTCTTCTTAGAAATTATACAGTAGTGATATTAAGATATATTTCAAGTTGTTTATAAAATATATGATGTTGATTTAAATATAAAAAAATATAAAGCTTCATGTTAGCATTTAAAAAAACATTTTTTGTTTCAGTATCCCAGAAACAATACTATTTAAGAAGAAAAAGTAAACTTGGTTTGCATTTCAAATTTTCATAGATAGGGTACATATCTCATCAGTAAAACGCTGCTTTATGTAGTTTTTATTCAATTAAAATTATAACGTTAGATTTTGAAAAAAAAACGCGCATGTCAGATCAGTTAATAGGCTGATGGTACAAGAGGTAAGATAGGTACAGTTATTTTCAGATTATCTCCATAATCATTTTCATTAACTACTACTAATTAAAAAATTATTAATACTTACTTCGGAAAAATATGTATAATCCTTTTCAAATGATAATATAAATACACAAAAAATAGCTGCAAGTATATAACTACACAGGGAAGTGATGAGAAGACAAAAATATATACCACTGGTGCCACCTGTAAATTAAATAATTTATTATTACATTTCACAATTTCATTGACTAGAACATTTATTAATTTTTATTAACGGCCTCGGTGGTCTAGCGGTACACCACTTTACTTTCGACGGTCGCGGGATAGTTTCCTCGCACGTTGCAAACAGTTGTATTCGTGAATACGATTGTTTGTATCGGTCTAGGTGTTTTGTATGAATATTATTTATGTATTTACACAAAACATGTATTTAAGTATTTATATCACTTGTGTTATGAGTGCTAGCAAGCTCTGCTTATCGTGGGACTAGATGGAGCTCTGTTAATTGTCAAGGTTTATTTATTATTTATATTGCTATATCAGTTTATTATAAAACTTACTTCTCGGTAAAAAAGAAGTGACGGTGCCAATTATCGCCATTACAACTAGTATAAGGAAGCTCACGTTGGCTAGACATTGTCTTAGAATAGATAAATATTTGTCATAATACAACGTAGAAATATAGGTAGTTATGATGCACTGAAACAATAATTGTTAGTAAGTATACATATATATATACATATATATGAATATAAAAAATATTATAATTAGCATTATTGACTTGTTTAGAAAAATCTATTTACAAATTCTATCCATTTCTAGGATATGGAGTAATGGCATCATAGTGGTCCGGAATGACAAAGCATGAGTGGAATTATAGGCGGTTAATAACTTTGGTAGTTATTAACCGCCTATAATTCCACTAGTGTGTCTAGTGGAGTAGGACTAGTCACCACCTAGTGAGTCTAGGTGAGCTCTTAGCTCATTTGTCATTCAATTTATATTTAAAACATAAAAACATTAAATACTGCACATAATTTATGCAAACTTTCATAAAACTGAGATAACAAAGATAAAACAAAATACTGTACATATACAGCATTTTGTTGATTTACTATATTTATTGACAATTAATATTACATATTATGTACTTTCTTTTATAATTTACAAATACATAAAACATTTAAAAAGCAGACCTGCATCCATATATATAGAGTTCCAAATCCGCATATAAAAATACTCAGTGCCGTAAGGCAATGATTATCCACCTGTAATGAAATTTTAAATATATATATTGTTGAATTTATGAGTGAAATTTTATTTTATGACTTAAAAAAAGGTAATGTAATTATTAAATACCAAGTTTCGAGATAGAGTTAGACAGATCATGGCGAAGGTAAGTTTGGACATGTTATACAAGTAGAACAACAATTAGTATAAAAGGAAAATATATTTATATTATAATGTTCAATAGTATAAGTTGAAAAATATAAAATGTATTGTTATATTTATTTTATGGATGATAATAAAATTGTGCTCCCCTTGCGCTAACGGCATATGCTGTATTCCAATGGTATTCCGGCCCCAGTGGAAGAAGATAGAATGAATTTCAAGTCTACCCATTGTAATGATTTCAGTGTAAAATGATGTGTATGGGATCACTAACTCCCTCTTCCCTCCTATTTATACTTAATCATACTTCAATGGAACATCCATTGAAGTATGATTAAGTATAAATAGGATTGATTGATGAGGAAAATATGTTTTTCTGTATTTCATGTACCTGCTATATGTACCTGCATATAGGTACTACTTACTTTTTGAAAAACTAATTGTATGGTAGTTGTTTTGTTTTGAGTACATAAAAATAACAAATCCATGTATATAGTTATAATATTATGTATGAGTTAGTTGTTAGTTACTTAACTTGATTTGATTTGATTAATTTATATATATAATTCACATTAATGTTAATTTGTGGTAATTGCTGCCATACAAAATATGACTAACATTAAAAATTAGGCGGCCTTACCTTAAATAGAAACAGAAATAAATAAACCAGGAAGCCCAGTGACACAAAGGAGGCCGAAAAGGAAGCAATCCTGTTTGCAAATGAGGTAACATTTGGATTTGGTGTTAGTGAGCCTAGCACATGGATTTGCTGGTATCGGTCATAAATGATTTTGCCAGCTGAAAAAAAATTGTTAGCACAAACAACACTGTATTAGTCAATTTTTTATTAGATTTTTAAATGCTGTAAGACTGACAATGTCCGTAGTATTAGAATAATAATAATAATAATAATAATAGAATTCATCATTGTAGTACCAGAATACAGGAATTTGATAAGCATGGTTGAAAAATTATTCATAAAGTCCGAAGTAAAATAGTAAAAACAAATCATTTACTATGAATACACATATATAAAATGTAAGCTGTGACTTATTTATGGAATTTGAGAAAGAACTAACTTATAATAATATAATAATAATTCTTTATTTAACAAAATAACAATAGAAAAAGAGAAAAAATAAAGAAAGAGAATCCTACATATTATTTTATCTATTATTATGGACTCAGATGCTTATGTTTGATACATAAACAAGAAAAAAAGTCAATATTCCAAAATCCAAAGCAGTTATTCTCAGGTTAATTGTATAGATTAAAATCAGTTACAACAATAAATTATCGACCCAAAAGAAAAGGTGTTATGAGTTTTACAATGACTGTTAGGAACATTGAAAGCTATAAGTAATATCAGAGAAAGTTTATTAAAAATTGTTATAAACACAATCAAAAACTGATTGTGTCTATAACAATTTTTAATAAAAATTCTATCTTTAATGTAATAATGTTTTCTTTATTATTAAAATAATTAAAATTATTTTGAAATTGTTATATATATATACATTGTAATGGTTCAGTAAGAGCTTAGTATTCATAAAGTCACTATATGAATAATATATAAATACAGTAGTTACAGTAATAATAAATGTATTCAGTTGAAAACAATTACTTAATAATAAATTAACACAATTACTCAATTAATATTAATATAATGACAATAGTTTGTTACTATTTTAATTAATTGTTGTAATTATATATTGGTCTGAAGAACCATGCAACCAGGCAAGAATTGTTTAAATAAAAATTTAATTCAATGTAGAATTTATTCATAGTTTATTATAGTGTTTGAACTGTTTTTTAGACTGTCTTTCAGTGTTGAAATAGTTATGATAATGAACTAAAATATACTCAATCCATATTATTTTATTGTAACCAGCATCTATTGATATCAATATAAGAAAGTAACTTTAAAAAATGTTTTCCATATTAATTTTCTTTGCAAAATAAAGGATTGATAATATTTTAATATATACTATATTATAAAAATAGTCTAAAATTTAAATATAGGTATGGTACAAGTAATGACATAAAACATGATGAAATGGACCCATGATAGTTATAACAATGTTATGTAAATGGAAATTGTATATATTGCATTTACTAGGTTTCAACATTGCAGCTTATATAATATAAAAACCTCTCACCTATTATTCCACTGGCAATGTACAAAAAAGCAAGGCCAATGTCCAATGAGTTTGAGTCTTGTGCAACTTGAAAGCAAACACTGGAATGCAAAAAGTAAAAAGATTTAATACATTAATTTTAAATAAAGTGAAAGTGTTTAATAATAATAAACTATCCTTGCTGGAAATAACACAATATGTAGCTATTATTTTATATATTTTAAATTAGAGTATATTTGTAATAATATTCATTAATTAAAGTTCTTCAAAAATTCCGACACCTGAACAATTAATTATAGTTAATGTGTAAAGACTGTACTTTCAACACTTACGATAAAATATATGTTGAAGATAATGTTATTATTCCGCACTTAAATATCAACATATTATACCTAAATAAAATAAATTAAAAATTATTATTTATTTTCCTCCAAAGCAGTTAATGACACTTGTATTACACTTCCACAGCTGTCAATAAATTGGTAAGTTGGTAACTAAACTACTAAACTAAACAAAGTGATGCGAACGTAAAGCGACTTGCAAGGCAAATGACGGAGTGAGCATACCATGAACCAATCATTTGATCGGGGTGAGTGGTATGGCGAAAGGAAAATAGGAATAAGTAGTGGCAAGTCTTGATAAATAATGGCTTCTAAAAATGACTATAATTAGCGGTAACATTTTATATAATAATTCTTTAACACAACAGTTCGTGCCCTTTCGGCATCATTAGCTCTTTATTTTAAATGTGATGAATTATAAAAATGGTTTGCTTTTGATTTGAAGATAGAAATATAATTTAAGGAATAACTTTACAATTATTTGCAATTGCATTTTAGACTCGGTGTTAATATTGTATAATCATGTAGACAATACACTTTGGTGATTTTAAATAAAAGTTTGTGGTAACCATAGAAATTTAATGATTGATGTATTTCAAGTCAGTATAGATTAGGGTATTATTAATTAAATGAACAATACTTTAATATCCATTATGCACTGAGACTTTTTAGTATTTAGTACGCAGTAGGCTCTAAGCAAATAACCACTACGTCTGAGATATAAGCTACGTGTTTTCTGCAAATAGGACAATGATTTTATGTAAACCTATATAATCCTTTGTTCAATCAGTTATTAAAAGTATCGAGTATCGAATTAATTTCCAAAATTGTTGATCGACAGATCTCTAAATGTCAAATAAGGCGCGAAATATAAATTCGCGCCTTTTTTGACATTGACAGCAGTATAATTTTACTGTGAGAGATTGTTCACTAAATTTGATTTTTAGAAAATATATCTATTTTATTTTGGTTATTTAATATTTTGAATTGTTTCTTGGTGTATTAAGTCTTACACTTAAATCGATGTCTTATTGTATAGAACTAACGAAACTAATAAACAAACTTTCGACTTGTTTTGTTGATGTTTTATAAATGAACGCCTTCCAAATTTTGCATGCCTCATTTTAAGTCGTATAATCTGTAAATTATATATGTTTAATGATTTTTATGATTATTACTTTAAATATAAAGTGGTCGAAGTTAAATAATCTCTGGTGCAGTTTAATATTCATTTAACAATTTGAAATGTCTACACTACAACCCATTCATGCTTTGAATCTAGGTAAGTAATGATTAAAAATATGCTCTTAAATACTATAATTTTACAGACTTTAATCCTAGTTTAATCAATATTTTAGCCAGAAATATTGTGCACTTGTCTTAGCAGGCTTATATAGTATAAATAATAAATTTATTTATTTAACTTTTAAATACTTAAATTAAATATTTAAATTGAGCATCTGACCTCTAAGGATACCTAATCTAAAACTATGTTTTACTGTGAGTCTTGCACCAGTGAAAGGGCATGAGGAGATCACATGGAAAGACAATTGTTAGGTATCAATACTTCTTGTATTGGTTTATGGATATGGATATCATGTTGATCTCCATAAGGCCCCAACTATAATCATTCCTGAAGAATCTAATTAATTCCTGAAGATTCCACTGTCATAGGAATTTATTAAATTTTCACAGGTACAAGTCTTACAATTACGAAAAAAAAAACACCTTCCATTGAAAGAGAACACCTGTGAAAATGATACATTTGCCATTTAATAAAAAGCCTAGTCTAAAAATGTGGATTATTCTATGGTGCTGCTGGTATTGCTCTAAAATTATTCATTCATGTATTTTGGATGTGATTGATATAAAGATATAAAGCTAATTGAACCACAAAATCAAACTCAATGTCAAGTTATGAGGTCAGTTTGATGGTATCACACTCTTGGTAGGCAAATATCTCCCTCTCCCTCAAATAAAGTGATAGTCATTTATCTACAATCCCTACAGAGGAACATAAGTCAGTTATTGTATGTATTTCTACATAGAAAACAGTGAGTAGATAGAAAACACAAATTATTAGCTGTCTAATAAAATTAATATAATTTAGGAAATCATGGTAGTGTATTATAAATAATTATATTTATTTTATGTATTTATTAAAAAAGATAGTTAAAATATGCCTAACAGTTCTATAGTACCCATAATACAATGTTTAGTTTGGGACTAGATAATGCCTTATGGAATATTCATTTCCTTTACACTCTATCCTATCCTAATAAATTTTATTGAACTTAGAAGTAAGAAGTCATCTAGAGTGACTAAATGTAGTTCAAATGGTCCTAGTTCTTTTTTATATTTCCTATGAAATTAAGAAATAAGAATTACTAAATACTAATTAGAATCATTCCAGAAGAATGAGTCCAGATTAGACTTTCTTACAAGGGGTTAAATAAATTATTCTGAAACATGTTCCATTTATTTAAAAAAATATATTTTATTGTTCACTTTTTAATAACACCTTTTTATTTCATGCAATTTACAAATATTCAAGAATATGACTAGGACAATGTCATTTATCATTTATTATAACTTTTGTCACATAATTAGTATAATTGCAATATCTTATTTCTACTTTCAGATTCAATCCAACAACAAGCATTCATTAAATACTACTTAACATTATCTGATGTAAGTACTTTATTGTATTAATATATGTTTGTGCAGTTTACATACCACTGAAATGTGTAGTTTTAATTAATTGTATAATTTGTATAGATCAATAAAAGTCTTTTCTACTTTTACAATAAAATAATGAAAAATCTAATAATGTGTTGTAAACTTAGTATATATTGTAGAGTTAATTAACTTCTTTTGAACCAGGATCCAATTTTTTCTTTTGCTCTAGTAAATTTACTGCCTACTGAAGCCCAAAATCCTGTCTTCTCTGTAGTTGGAGCTACAGTAGATGACATCACATTTGTTATGTTTTCGACATATGCTGGTTTTTCTATGTCTTTATTATTTAATGTCTCCAATGAGTAATATTTAGGGTTATAAATATCAGCTATCTGTGTTTCATGTTGTCTTGAATTTTCTTGAATCATGGGCTGACTATATATATAATCAGAGTTTCTTCCTTGTAGATTCAAATGATGGTTATTGTTTACTGTGTATGTAATTATTGGTTCTAAATTCTCACTTTGTTGTACAATATTAGTTTGTTCTAAATTTTGTGGATTCTCAATGTGTTTTCCAGATTCAAATTGTTGTGCTATGTTTTGCTCACTTTGCTGATCAAATTCAAACATAGTTTTCTTTTGTTGATTGGATATGTTGTTTTGTAGTAAATTGTGTCCATTTCTCTGGTTAAGGTATTCTTTTTCAAAATCAAATTGTTGTGCCATATGGGCTTCATTTTGCTGTTCAAAATCAGACATTTGCTCCACATTTTGTTGATCAACATCGAACTGTTCATTATTTACATCATTAAATTTTCCACTATGCTGTCCAAAGTCAAATTGTTGTTCTATATTTCGTTGAGCAAACTTTTCATTTTGTTGCCCAACATCAATATGTTCAATATTATGTTGTTCAGATTTCCCTCTGTCTTGTCCAAAGTCAAATTGCTGTTCTATGTTTTGTTGATCAAAGTTCTCGTTTTTTTGTCCAACATCAAATTGTGCAATATTTTGTTGATTAAATTTCCATCTATCAAGTCCTAAGTCAAATTGTTGGTCTATGTTTTGTTGATCAAAGTTATCATTTTGTTGCCCAACATCAAACTGATCAATATTTTCTTGCTTGAATTTCTCCTTATGATGTCCAAAGTCAAATTCTTGATTCGTGTTTTGTTGATCAAAATTGTCGTTTTGTTGCCCAATATCAAACTGTTCAAGATTTTGTTCATTAAATTTGTCACTATGTTGCCCAAAGTCAAATTGTTGTTCTATGTTTCCTTGATTGAAATTTATACTATCCTGTTGCAAATTAAATTCCTGTACATTATTTTGCACCTTTGTGTTTTCTTTTTCAATAAAGTAGTTAGTTTGTTGTCTGTTTTGTTCAGTCTTATTTTTATTTTGCTGATCTGTGCGGATGTTTTGAGTTATATTTTGATCAGACAAGTTTATGTTTTCTTTTCCAATATCAGGTCGTTCATTATATTTGTTATTAAAATTCTCATTAGTATGTAAATGTTCCTTTTGTTCGAGTTCTTGTTTTAGTTCTATGCTATTTAATTGATAGTCTAAATTTCTATCTGATTTTAATGCTTCATCATAAGTGTTTTGAGTTATTGAATTATTTTCTGTAGTTACACTCTCAATTTCTTCGGGATATTCTGGAGTCTCATTTATAACATCTATATTTTCAGTTGTTGTCATTTCTGCATCAATTAATTCTTCTGATCCTATATCCCCACGTCCTGAATCGTTAGCTTGTGTTGCAAGAAGATATTGGTTTGTTTTCATGGTAGTAGAGCTTGTAATTATAAATTGTGTCTTTTGATTCTTTGGTCTTATATTGTGTGTAAAAGTATCGGATTTATTCAAAACATTTATTATTTGCAATGTATCTTGGGTTGAACTAAAAGCGTTTGTTCCGTTTTTATTACTTTTATTATCCAAGACTGCATCCCTTGAAATATTACTTAAGTTATCCTGAAGTAATTCCCAAATAGGTTTAATACTTGTACTTTGTTTAAAATTTTCTGTATTTCTTTCGGTGTTACTTACTGATGTTTCTTCTATTTTATCCCCGTTATGTTTTTTTTCAAAACTATCTAACTTATCCCATATACTTGTATGTGGCTGATATTCATTACTTTTGTGATTTTCCATCAATTGAGGAGAGTGGTTAAAGTTTTGCGGAATTGATTCTGAAAAATATGTTGGAAATTGTTCGTATGTATTTTTTGGATTATCTGCTGAAGTATTATTATGAATTTCTATACTGTGCTGATTTTCAATTAGTTGCCCAAAATTATCAATATTTTTGTCTTTATGTACACCAATGTTTTCCAGTTTATCCCATATCTCTTGTGGTTGATCAATATTTCCTATTATAAAAGAAAATGATTTTGTGATATAGAAATATTCAAATACTTATATATGTAATCTTGGTTTAGTTTAATGTTTATTTTTTATACAGTTAATGTAATGTTATAAACTTTGATTTACTTTAAGTTATCGCCCCATATGTTGCTGCTGTTTTATAGAATGTAAAACTTACTTGAAGTAATCATTACTAGTCTATATCTCTATTTTTATATATGTGCTCTATTTTTATAAAAGTACGAATCCTACTTACTTTGATGATGTTGTTCTAATTGTTCGAAATTATGATGTTGGTATGCTTGTTGTTGTTCTTGATCATTTATTTTACCCCATTTATTTTCAGTTTGCTGTCCAAGATCTTCTATTTTGCCCCATTTGTTTTCAGTTTGCTGTCCAAGATCTTCTAATTTGTCCCATCTGTTTTGAGCTTGTTGGCCTAGGTTTTCTATTTTATCCCATCTGTTTTGAGTTTGTTGGCCTAGATCTTCTATGTTATCCCATCTATTTTGAGCTTGTTGACCAAGATCTTCTGTTTTATCAAATTTATTATGAGACTGTTGTCGGAGATCTTCTAGTTGATTCCATCCATTTTGAGATTGTTGTCCGAAATTATCTGTTTGGTCCCAAATGTTCCGCTGTGCCTGTTGTCCAAGATTTTCTAAATTATTCCGCTGGCTTTGATAGTCTTGTTCTTGATCATCATTGACATTTCTATGTTGCTGATATGAGTAAAATTGTTCTGGATTTGAATTGTAAGATCGAGCTACTCGACTATGTTCATCCTCCTCACAGTTGCAATCCAATGCCGTACCACTAGTATAACTTTGATGAGCTTCTTTGTGATGAGAACCATATTGATGTGATGAATGGCTTTCCCGAGGGCTAGATATAGCACTAAGTCTTTCGGATATTTGGCCATCGGTTCCACTATTAGGCACAGGTATCACATACGGATCACCCTGTCTTTCCCACGATTTGTGATATGAGTAAGAAGACTGATAACTCTTCGGTCTTGAGTTTGTATGAATATTTTTTAGAAGTTCCGCATCATCAACAAGATGATTCGATCCACTATGAGTGTATGCATTTGATTTAGTATTAGATGATGCGCTTTGATGATATTGAGAGTTGTAGTCAGAATCATGCCTTGACTCACTAGATTTAGCTGATTGCACATTTGAAGCATATCTGCTAGAATCTCGAGAATCTGTATCACTTGCACGATATTGGTAATTACTTTTCTGAGATCCTTTTGAAGCATCAGAAATTTCACTTGATTTTGAATAAGGGCTTTCAGTAGGAAAATGTGTTGGTTCAGGATTGCTGTGTTTTTCCCACTGCTTGTGATAACTATATGATGATTCGTAATGTTTGTTATTGTTGGGATAACGATGACTTTTTTGTTGGCTTCCACTTGCCAATTCTTCAGCTTCGCTTCTAGTCTTACTATCATCATAAGAAGATGCAGTATGACTACCGTCATAAGTTTCTGATGCAACTGGTAAGATTACTTTAGTTCCAGGTCTGATCATTATTCTCATGGGCGTTGTATTTATTAATCTATTTTGTGGATAATATCTGTAATCGGATGATTGCCCGTATGCATCGGATTCTTGTTGCTCGTGTGCAGCATTTGCATTTTCAATGTGACTTGTTCTGTAATTGGATGATTGACCGTATGCGGCGGAATTTCCTTGTTCATATACTTTGTTTGCATTTCCATTATTTCTATAACCAGATGAATGACCATATCTATCGGATTCACTCCGTTCATAAGTATTATGAGAATTTTGCATACGACTGCTTTCAATATCTTGTTCTGATTGTTGGGAACTGTCATGTCTGCTATAGCTATTACTATGCCTATGTGAGTTGGAAGATAATCGTTGCCTATACGCAGAATTAGATAGTGAACTGTGTGATTGCTGTTCGCCATAAGCTCCATTTTCTTCAAAGTTACGACCCTGTAGATTTCCGATATCATAAGTTCCAGATCCATAAATGCCTCTACTATTTGCAGCAGAATAAACACTTCCAGTCCTTGTCTTCGATCCGTCTCCAAGCTCCCCTTCTACTTGTCGAACAAGCCCACTCATCTGGTGTTGTGCTAGGTTATCCATGTTATGAGCACGTTCGTAATTTCCACCCATATTCCCTCTCTGAGCGTCATAATATCCGGATTTTGTACCTTCATCAGAAGAACTCCTAGAATACTGAAAATCTTCTTTTTCTTTATACAATTCCGGTCTCGCAGCCGCTAATGTTGTTACTGCGGCTATGAGGATTAAATTCCTCATCTTGAATCCAATTTCAACTGAAATATAAATGTATAGAAATTAGAAGTGTAAGCATACGACAAGTGTCATACCAAGAAATATTTAAAAATAGAACCTGTATTTTACAATAATTTATAATAATATAATAATTAGATAAATATTAGAGTCAGAGAATAGTGACTGATGAATTTGTGTATAAAATTATCCTAAAATATCGTAATATTTATGAGAAAAATATATATTTGAAATAATAGAATTAAAGTCCTAAATTATTATTTAATATCTAGTCATAGAAATTTAAACAAAGTATCATTTTAAAAATAAAATAAATATTCTTCAAAGAAAAATTTTTTCTCCTCTTATTTATTTCATAATAATAATATTCTATCTCCTCTAATTTATTGTTAATTTAAAATAAATTTTATAAATACACAAAATTTACGCACCTTAATAATATTTGATTTAATTAACAATTATATTTAACAGTCACCCCACGTTCTTTGCGCACAAACAAGCACTGACATTGGCTGATCGGGAGACTTCAATTTATTGTTTTAATTTTCTATCTGACCAAGATAACCTCACACCAGGTCATGAGTGATATTGTATTCTGAGAAGTATAGACATGCGAAATACGGCATGAATTATATAGAAATAAAAAACCACAAAATTCTTGACGAATTGAGTTGACATTAAGAAAATATTAGTCATTGTTTCTTTAGTCAAGTTTTTTTGTTTAATTCGAAATGATTCAATAACATGACTTCATTGCTTATGTCATATTTGCAAACGTTGAGAGTGGACAAATATGCGAATACAATATAAAATTCATCTTTAGTTTTTTTGTTATTAGTGGACATTTTTTTCATCCGTTTGCCTGCAGCCGTTTGCTGTTTTAACTTTTGACGTTCAATGAAAATTATTCGTAGACAGGTCGGGAATGAGGTTTAAAGCTTAAAACTTGTTGCCTCTCAATAAAACTAAAAAAATCTTGTAAATTGCTACTGTTATATACTGAAAATGTTACTGTTGTATTACCTCGCACGAAAGACTAAGCAAGTCACCTACTCGTACGGGTATTCGGAAATAAAGGAATCTGTCAGAATTTCGAAGAAACTTATCGGGGAGAAACGCTCGTAATTTTTACCATTACGCTCTTGATCCTGCAAAAGCCCCAATCATTAGATTCAGTACCGGACGAACCATATCAACGACGCCGTCCGTTTGGTATATTTCCGAAAAGAGAAGGAAGGTGCAACCTAAGAGCCATAGGTTGCGCCTTCCTGCTCTTTTCGAATTATTGTGGCGTCGTCAACACGACCCGTCCCACTCTTATCGGAAATGTGTAGCGATGGTTATTTATGCATCTGTAATAGTTATTAGTAAAAATTGCGTTATTTGCGCACATAATTTGAACATAAAAATAGATAGTCCTTTTATATTTTAATCTCATGATATATTATATATAGGTACTTTTACATAGTCTTTTCTATAAAAAAATAAATAAATGATTTTTAAATTGCACATTTTCATACACAATTCATTATACAGTAGTTTTGAAATAATTAATAATAACGAGGAAGATAATGAACATAATGATAAGTGTCACTTGTCACAATCTTGACATTGCTCTTATTACTGAAATGTGGGACATCATTCCAAGTATACAGGAAAAGTTCTGAGATATTTAAAATGAGAACTACGAACATGGTATTCTATTGTTGTTACCTTAACATAAGTACTTCTTATAATTAATGATGATCAATTTTATTCCGTGGTTGTTAATTAAAGTTATTAATGCGATTGAAATGAGTAAGTTGAAGCCTCACCTGACTTAAATTTGATTGTAGATTACAAATCTACATTATCAGATTCGTTACTTCAGTATGTAAGTTTAATACTTAGACAAAACCGACTTCACTTTTCAATGATTGCAGCACAGATAACATAATATTACATACAGATACCCCATCCCATACAAGAAAATGGTTCCTTCCTAACTCGGGCTATTCTTCGGGCTATTTTATTTCGCCACCGTAGCCGCTAGATGTCGCTAGATCTGAAGCAGTTCGGATTACTAGTGGGTGCTTAGTAACAAAGCATGAAAATAGATGGCAGTCAATTCAGTCTACATGACATCTGTTTTGCAAAGATAGGTATATAATAGATATGTAGGTAACTGTATCATGTACCTCATTAGGGACGATTCAAGATTCAATGTAAATGTGTAGGTATAATATCGTTAGCCGACACTCTGCAGATATGGCTTATGTGCCAATGTATATACCTATTGTGTTATGGTTTATTTTACATTCCATGCCTATTTTTTTGATATGTTGTAACGCGTCTGCGCTATACGTATAGCCTGATTTTGATACGTTTATACTCGTACGTATCAAAATCGGGCTATACGATTTTTTATTTCAATCGTTATATGTATGAGACTGATTTTAGCTACAATTAATTTACTGGTATATACCTCATGTATTCTACGATGTACCCCTCTTTTACCTAATGAGAATTCCGCTATATCTTATATATAAATTTTGTATCACAGTGTTAGTTGCCATATTTCTCCCACATTTTGATGAAATTTGATATGTATACTTGCCAGGTCTGAGGTAGGGTTGTTATCTATTTTTTATACCCCTAAGTCATAGGGGTGGCCTACCCCGAAAAAATATTTTTTTGTATTATGGACAATTTTTTATTTATTTATAATGTTACATTGAAAATACATACACGCCTAAATTTTCACCCGTCTTTCACCAACCCCTATTTTTAATAGCGATATTCTTACAAATATTATAAATGCTAAAGTAACTCAGTCTGTCTGTTTGTCTCGCTTTCACGCCAAAACTACTGAACTGATTTAATTGAAATTTGGTAGACAGATAATGTAGACCCTGAGAAAGGCTACTTTTTAATGCGAAAAAGTATTGAAAGGGGAAATGAAAGGCTATATGAGGATATCGTAATTTTTAAAGTCTAGTTCTTGTAAGATTAAATGAACAGGGTCGGTCTAGGTTTTTCATTATTAGAAATGTGTAACGGGGTAACACGTTATTTAGTGCGAAATTGTGTATATTACAATAAAATTTAACGAGAAATTATTATAATGATGTCACTGGGACACTCATTGCCTTACTACTATATCGTCCGTTAGTCGCGAACTTTCTGGAAACACGAGAGGCGCGCTCCTATTGGTCGGTCGGCGCGGTTACCGCGCGTAGATGAGTAGATGAGGTGAGTCTCACGGCGCCGCAGCGTAAGTACTTACTATACATACGTAGTATACATATGGGTGTTACAAATGTTTTTATTACGAGTAATATTACTCTGTTATCTAAGCAAGTAATGTGTGCTTATTTTGAACTTGATAACATTCTGAATTACTCGTATATCTTTCAATATCTTTAGCGGTATAAACCAGGTTATGTACTACTACTAGTATTGTTAGTGAGGGATAAAGTTGATGAACAAAAATAAAACAATATTCGTATTAAAAATATATTCATCTAATATTTTTGGCATTATTTTTAAGTTTCTTAAAAAATAAAGAAATGTATGTACCTACATTAGAAGATAATTTTTGACATGTATGAAATGTATGAGATGTATGAAAAAAATGTATGTACCTACATAAAAAGTTCATTTTTGAAATGTATGAAATGTATGAAAGAAATGTATGTACCTACATTAAAAGATAATTTTTGACATGTATGAAATGTATGAAAGAAATGTATGTACCTACATTAAAAGATAATTTTTGACATGTATGAAATGTATGTACCTATATTAAAATATAATTTTTGAAATGTATGAGATGTATGAAAGAAATGTATGTACCTACATAAAAAGTTCATTTTTGAAACGTATGAAAGAAATGTATGTATGTACCTACATTAGAAGATAATTTTTGACATGTATGAAATGTATGAAAGAAATGTGTGTACCTACATTAAAAGATAATTTTTGACATGTATGAAATGTATGAAAGAAATGTATGTACCTACATTAAAATATAATTTTTGAAATGTATGCACCGTACAATAACAATAGACGTTAAACATCATGCCACAGAGTCATACGCAAGTTAAAAACAAACTGCTATGATATTAATGAGAAAGGAAAATCAACTTTATGGTATTCGAGTTAGGCTCGATTTCTCACTTTTTTTTAAATACTATTTTAATCTTACCAGTTGCCAGTATTTGAAGACAGCTACGATTCGTACTCGATATTTTAAATTATTATGTAATCGATTTTTCAGTACAAATGTAAATAACCAACGACACTAATAATGTACTACTATATTCCGTTCTTTGAAACGGAACACTGCTATAGGTAATACAAAATAATGAAAATTTACTGTTCACAACGACTCATTAAAAGCATCATCGAATAATGCGCTGTAATAAAATCCTGTTATCGATTATTCAAAATATTCGATAATACATGTATTTATTTTTAATATGACAACACTTCATACATAAGTATTATTGGAAATAGTATTACTTGCTTGTTCGGCTATTTTTAATTTACTTAAAAAAAATTTATATGTTTAATTTACAATAATAATATATTAAGTGCTTATTATTGGAAAATATAAAAAAGACATTTAATTAGGCCGATACAAATGACGACAATGCCATCTATGAAAGCATTTTGAAAACATTGAGCCCCATATTAGCACTGATTAAAGTGTAATTAAGTACTGGAAAATAACAAAATGAGTAAATATATGAAAATTACTTTTCTAAACGCATTATTTCATTTTAACATGTATATATAACTTTTTAAAAATTGATTAAACGTTTTTGAAAACACAGTTTTGTTTTTTAAAACGTTTGCAAAACTATGAAGAATTCCATCGATACCAATCACGCCATCTATATGCAACTTTCGGCAATAATAATGGCTACTTCCTCATTGAGTGCCACTGGATTGCAGTGCGTAAGCGCCATAATACACATCTAAGTTTAATTATATCAGTACGATTGTTGTCAATCGTTAGACAATCACTTTTTTAAACGATGTAACACACTCGTACGTACAGACACAGACGTTACCATGAGCATCGCCTCATGGATAGCTTTCCAGTTACAGTAGTTTATTATAATACTAATTTTTACAGCAAAAACGTCTGCGTGACCTAACCAATTAGATTAACAGGAAATATAAAGTTCCGCCCATTTTTCTGCCTTATTTCGAGATCATATGTCAAAGCATTAGGCAGTAAAATGTAGCAATGAAATAGAGACAGTAACATTTCATTTTTGAGTGTTTATATTAAATATAAAAAGTATTCGACTGATTTTAACAGTTCTTCGCCTATCGTTAACCGTATTATCAGATAGTAACATACGCTGTATTCCACATGCAGCGCCGCGAGATACAGCTAGTATATAATAAAAGAAACATCAGGTAAACTCATCTATTAGAATTAAAGTATTATGTACCTATATAAATTATATTTGAAAATTCAATCTCCTTGTATTCATTAATATGATTGTTTGTATTAAATATTTCTATCTTTCTTTAGTACGCATAACACAAGCTCTGATTAGATTGAGACTAGATACCTCTGTGTAAATTGTCCAGGTATATATATATATAAGCTGACCCCTCCAGCGTTGTTTTGCCATATAAATTGGTATGAAAAAATAGGGATTAGTCATAGAAGAATGAAATTTTATTTAATTTTGAAATTTTAGGGTTGTATGTATTTTTTAATACGACATTATAATAAAATTAAATAAAAAATGTTCGAAAAAAAATGTAAGGGGTGGAAAACCCTTATTACTTAGGGGTATGAAAAAAGATAGTAATAGCCAATTCTCAGACCTACTGAATAGGCATATAAAATTTCATAAAAATCGCTCAAACCATTTCGGAGGAGTATGGTTTGAGCGATTTTTATTATTATATATTATATATATATATATATATATATATATATATATATGATAAGATTCGCATTAGAACACTAATCCTCCGAAACACGCATTTTTTATGTTTCAGAAACCACCAACCACTGTAAGGATCTTCGACCGAAATGAATACTACAGTGTTCACGGCGTGGACGCGACAACAGCAGCAAAAGAAGTTTTTACTTCAATATCCAATATAAAGAGAATGGGTATAGAACCCAATCGGCTGGATTACTTAGTATTGTCAAAGGGAAACTTCGAAATACTTATTAAGAAGTTGTTATTGGTTCGTTTTTTAAAGTTGACAATTTACAAAGACGGTCTCGGTGGTCTAGTATAATATACAGGAAACACCCAGGCCGATACAAAAAATCATAAACATTACTACGAAATGTTTCTAACGTGCTAGGAATCGAACCCGCGTCCATCAGAGGTATGGCGGTGTGATAACCCGCTAAACCACCGAGACCATCAACTTTAGAATGTTTTAATTACTATAAATATCAAATTATAATCATAACATTGCTAATATATATTACGACTCTATCTGTCGCCTAATATTTATAAAGATGACTGCACCTAAATTACTTGGAATATTGTGAAGACAAATAACAACAGTTTTGTATCTAATATATATTTTTTTAAATTATTTTGTATTATCAAATTAACTGTAATTCTACAGTATTATAATAAATCAGTCGTTTACAAGGAACAATCTTGTAATCTAAATACCTATAGACATCAATTAACTGAAGTATGTTGACCTTAAAATATATCTATGCGTATTTTATTAATAATTCTTATCTTATAACACTATCAACAAATACACACGACATAAATATATACACACAGTGACACTACACGCTGTTCTTACTTACCTCTATTTATTTCTAGCATTTCCTTATTTTATAGTGATTATAACAGATTTTAATTACATATTTGATAACAGAGTATCTAGTAATTTACTACGTAGTAAGGACCCAGAGGACGTGATCAGATTTAGCTAACACGAAACTATGTTGATTTATATATCTGAGTGACTCTCCGGCGATAAAAGCACCGGTAAATCAAAAATCAATTTGATAGACCGTGGTAGCCTCGCCCTGTATCATGTGATTTAGATCTTTAATACACCTGAATACTCTGAGTGCGATAGCCACTACATTTTGAAAATGTCTCCGAGTTTCTCATGCTTTAAAATCTTATTAATATTCTAAACGCGAAAGTTTGTGTGTATGGTTGGATGGATGTTTGTTACTCTTTCACGCTGAAACTACTAAACTAATTTTCACGAAACTTTACAGTAATATAGTTTAAATACATCATAATAACATATAGGCTACAAATGTCTCGAGGGTTAAACCTCAGGCACAGCTGGTGATACATACATTGGCACTTCAAAATGGTCTATTACAGGTAAGGCGTTACAGAGTAGAAATATATGTAGCAGAAGGATCAGTGAAGAGTGGTGACTGGGTCCTCAAATATAAAGGTTCTCCTGGTTGCCTCTCGCAATTAGAGGAAGTGCTCGGTGAAGGTCTGGGAATTTCAGAAGAAAATTCGGCACGTCTAATGGCTGTAAATATTAAAGTGGACCCAGTATCCAAGGTATGGTCACTCAATATTGTGAATTAAACCCAATTATTATTTTATTTATCTAAATTGATTAAACTAAATAAAAGAAATAATCAGGTGAGATATTGTAGTGACATTACAGTAGTGCCGTATCCTGTAATTTCATTGCCATACCTCCTTATTAGGTATTATTATAAAATTATTATTAAAATTATTATTAGTATAAAAAAAATCAACATAGGAACCGTGAACCATTACAATATTTATTGTGTTGATTCGTGTATGTAGGCGACACTCAGCATTTATTATCCGTGTGTCAGCTTGTTTACTATTTCTATTATAAAAATATTTATTCGGAACTGACTATTATTGAATACGTTCTGCAAGACTAAATAAATATTGTTGTATATTCTTTAAGGACATATCATATGTTTTGCAGAAAATAATTAATTGTGTAGATTGTTACAATGCATAATCACACTTCAAACTTCACGTGTAAAATAATCCAGTTCAGACTAGTATAGTCACGTTTTGTGAAACAAACTAACTAATGGCTGGCCGCTGTTTCATCTACTTCACATTCCTTTATCTGTGTAAGATGAAGGAAACGTAATGCCTCGTAAACATAAATATTTTGATGGTCTTTCATGCAATAGCAATGTGAATTCTCTTTTTGAATCACGCATTGGAACACGTTATTCGAACTTTTTTTAATTTATTCTAATGGTGTTGGCCGCCGCTAGCCTCTACAGCTTCGTGTGCAGATGTCACTCCAACCCGCGGAGGCGGAGGAGCGGCCGAAGGCCAACTAATGCTTGATACTCTTTTAGTGTGAGGACACCGCTAAGGGTTCGAACCTCGGCTCAGACTATCGTTATTTCGATCCCCGTTTGAATTGTTCGGGGGATTTTCCAAAGAGTGGAATTTTTTAGTTAGTCCAGTATCATCTCAAATTGACTAATTTTTCTTAAGGACGCTTAGAGATAGACTATGTTCCATGGTTTTAGTCCTCTAAGTTTTAAAATATTTTTCCCCAACGAGCTTGGCTCCGTTCGTTGTATGACAGCTACAATATAAATAGCAGATAGATAATCACAGAAGCAGACTCATTTATTATATTATTATAATGAAAGCAATGTATGTAATATAAACAAGTTAGCAAAAATAAATCAAGACTGATAATAGTAATAAAACCTTGTCACAATGTAGTGCGAGGCTAATAATTAGTTTAATACACAAATCACTGCTTACATTGCTTACTCTGATAATGTCATTATGCATACTTTTATATAATAACTAGCTGTCCCGGCAAACGTTGTTTTGTCTTAAAATAAAAATAAAAATTTAGGGGTGGACTACTCCTAACATTTAGGGGAATGAAAAATAGATGTTGGCCGATTCTCAGACCTACTCAATACGCTCACAAAATTTCATGAGAATCGGTCAAGCCGTTTCGGAGGAGTATGGGAACGAAAACTGTGACACGAGAATTTTATATATAAGATAATATCTTTGGGCAATTCATAAATCATACAGCGCCATGTCGTCCTAAGCTAAGCTGGGCTTGTGTTATGGGTACTAGACAACTGATATAAATACATAGATACTTCTTTTTTTGTAAATATATTCATAATACATATATGTATGTATACCATGTACCTATAGAAAATACATTTACAAAAAAAAATTGTTTCGTTCTACTTAAGCTCAAGCTCAAGCTCTACATAGCTTGGGGCTAGATTGCGCTGTGTGAATTGTCCTGAAATATAGTTTATAGTATTTGTTGTACCTATAAATCATTTACTATATTTAAATACAAAAGTAATTTATTCATGTAGGACATTTTAGCCGCTTATGAACGTTAATTTTTTTATATTATAAAGTTTTCCCTACCGTCTATATATTTTTAATTCCAGGGTCGTTTGTTAGGAGTGGCGTGTATATCCGCTGGTGACTATGAAATGTCAGTGGCTGAGTTTACTGATGATGATTTACTTACTGAATTAGAAACTATCACAGTGCAAATGGCACCCTCGGAATGTCTTGTGCCACAAAGTGAACACGATGACGTAAGTTATATGCAAATAAATTTAAAATAATATAGGTAGAAATGGCGTTAAGAGTTGTAAATCTAATCCGGACGGGATTGTCATTAATAAGACTATTAGCAATAAAGGGTACATTACAAACGCATATAAGGTCCACTTTCCCCTTAACTCTAATAAACCACTAAATAAAACGAAGAAGCAGCGAGATCTCAAACCCTGACGCATAGGCTTCAAATACAGCGTTTTAAGGATAGCAATAAATGTCATACCTATTTATAAAATGGTCTTAACATTAAATGTAATATTCTTTTGTTCTCTATACGTGCTGTGATTTTCAATGCAGTAGTATAATTTAGTTATACTACAGTGTAAACGCTGTGTTGGAGTCACATTCAGCGTTATCAGTATGTTTTAACTTTTAAGGTATATAATGAACATTATTGTAAATACAAATACTAATGTAATGCTGAATAAATGTCTTTATTATTATTTTATTAATATATGTAGGATTGTTAAGTGTTTTTACAGACAGGGTAATAATAGCTGTTTGACAATACCTCTGATTACCCCGTCCGTAATTATAGTCACGTTATTGTAAATATACATTGTAGAAAATTTGTTGCAGTACAAGGCATTAAAAAAAATAATGGTCCGAGCAAATGTAACTGTAACAAAGGTGAAGAAGAGTGAATTCTCCGTAGAAGGCCTTACTCAGGATCTCAACCGTTTACTTAAATTTAAAGAAAGTCAGCAGCAGGATGCCAATGTGTTCTCTGAAACCAAAAAGCAAACAGCCATGACTTCATTAGCAGCCACCATCAAATACACAGGTTTATTGACAGACAGCACAAACTTTGGAAGGTATTCTAAATTTTTTTTACTTTAGATAAAAAGAAATGTACTATCTGGTTTAATGGTTACCCACATTCCTTAATCTCTTAGGTTTAATGTACCTGGAAATCACGTGCATTTATGCGTGTGTGTAGTATAAGCACTGTGTGTGTATCTAGATTATATTTACTGAAAATAAAGAGTTAGAAATAATTAATTTGAAAATCTTATGTATGTCAAAAACATATATTTTCTTCAGAAACTGAAGAAATTACGATAGTTATACATTTCTGTAAGAACGAAACATCACTTTTACACCGTATCTAGATGAAATTACTTAACATAAAGTTGTCTAAAAACGAACATGTCAGTATATCTCTTGTAAAAAAATATTTTATTTTTAATTTCACTTTACAAATAGTGCTATAGCTATAATTATTTACACAGGTTTCACATGCGTACTATCCAAGCGGATTGTTTCCTACACCTGGACACTGCGGCGCTCAGTGCCCTTAATGTGTTCCCTGAGCCCGGCGACACAGGGAATGCGCCCTCGCGCAGTCTCTACGGCCTCTTGGACCGTTGCCGCACACAGCACGGAAAGAGGTAAGAAAGACTTATATTTTTGTAACCCGTGGACAAGTCACACAACGCCATCTAGTCCAAAGGTAAGCAGAGTTTTCATAGTTTAATTTGAATTTGATGAATTGCTGTTAGTTGGATTAATTTGGATTCTTATTAACGATTCCATCAATATTGAAACAGATTTTTTATTTGGATTTTTTTTTATTTGGCTCTTAAGAAATTTATTCTATTACTATTTTTTATGTACTTTGTAATAGTAAACATGATTTCTATCATACTAGCATGCCCATTTGTGGGATGAATAATAATGTGGACGCAAAAAGTCAATATAAATGTGGAAAACATTTGCCCAGGTTTAAAATAAATAATGTGTAATTACAATGTAAACTTAAGAACTTTAAAAGTTAATGATCATAACCAATATCATTTTTATGTTCAGACTTTTAGCCCAATGGCTACGCCAGCCCCTGAGAGATATAAATCTGATTAACGAAAGACTAGATGTTGTGGAACTTCTAATGAATAGCTCTCAGATTCGACTGCAGTTGTATGACGATCACTTGCGGAGGATACCCGATTTACAAGCGCTAGCCCGTCGGCTGACAAGAAAGAAGGCAAATTTGCACGACTGCTATAAGATATATCAGGTGAGTTTGTAACTACTAACATAATTCACATAATAATTATTATTTAAAGCTGGTCTGAATTTAGGTGTTAATAATAATAATACTCCTGGATAATTCACACAACGCCTAGACGTACTAGACAACTGAAATAAATGATTCGATATATTTTCTTAAACACTCGCACGCGGACAGTCATCGGTAAAGCGAGGATTTTAACCGCTAGACCACTGAGGCCGTTCAGAACTCACATATCCAGTATTCGTAGCTAATAAGAAGCGTTTTTATATGTGTTTTTATCTATTACACAATATATTTTCTCTACAAAAAAATCCTAAATCGATGGTCAAATTTAAGAAAATTTTATAAAGTATTTTTATCATTGTATTGTTACAGGCCATAAATAGGCTGCCGTCGTTGCTTCAATGTTTATCTGAAACAAACAATGCGACAGTGCACTCATCCCTATCTGAACCAATATCGGAACTTAATGAAGATCTTAATAAATACCAGCAAATGATTGAAGCAACTATTGACATGGAAGCCGTGGATAGAGGTGAACTTTAATTCCATTATACCAGTTTATTTTATTCAAATGTGCTGACTGCTTGCCTGATAGGAAATATATAGCATCTATGTATCATCTATAGAAATAGGAGTAACATGAACATAATAAAATAGTGTTAGTATTCCATTTTTATTGCCATTCGTGAAGACAGATTTTACGTACGTAACTTCACAGTTATGTGGAACCAGAATCAGAAGGATTTAAGGTTTCGACATCGCGCACTTGACACGCCTGGTGTTTCAAGCACCTATAGGCTACGATAACTGTTTACCATCAGACGGACTGTATTTGTAGATAACCTGTGTCTAAAAAAAGATTCAATATTTTTATTTTATTAAGCGAAAACTACACAATCATCAAAATATTGAAATGTATTTATATTTCTTATTATACTAAATTTCATGTTTTTTTTTGTATCTCAGGCGACTTTCTTGTAAAACCATCATTTGATGAACAACTTCAAACGTTGAGTGAACAGCTAGATCAGTTGCAGTCATCAGCTGACAAAGAATTAAACAAGACTGCTAAGGATTTAGATCTTATAGCCGGCAAGTCTATCAAATTAGAGATTACACCACAAAATGGATTTTGCTTTCGGTATGTGCAAATATTTAACTATAGACAATTTCATGATGACACGCATATGATAACTTTTTGTGTTGTATTTCCACTCGGTACACTGTTGTGTCATTTATATACTTGTTTGTTTATTTTATAGAGTCACATTAAAAGAAGAACAGAATCTTCGCGGTAATAAAAAATACACAATAGTAGACGCCATAAAAGGAGGTGTAAGATTTAAGTCTCATGCCTTAAGCAGTATATCGGAAGAGTATAGTCAAGCAAAATCTATCTATGAGAAAGAACAGGATAAGGTTGTTTCAGAAATAGTAGCTATTGCTGGTAAGAAATATTAATAACCATTACTATTTATATATGAGACTTGGGATGGCTTTTTTTGTTTGTTTTAAGATTTAACGTCTCACAAAAAATAGTACACAATAATACCATATTTAGGTTACCAAAAAAAACTACTGTCATTGCGTTATTAAGGCAAACTCAAAAACTACTGGTTAGTTTTTAAGAAATTTATGTGAGACCCCTAAGAAGCACGAATTTTAAAATAAATTGTCATTTGATACTTCACTTATCTTGTAATTTATTACTATAAAAAAAAAGCTTACAAAGTATGCTGTTTGGTAGCACTTGACTAAAAATTTGAAGACTAATTCAGAAGACTATATATCTTTTTCTTTTTTAATTCCCTTTCTATTATACTTTTTCCGAATTATGGTCGCCATTTCTTTAATAGCCGTGAGATAACATAAGAAAATTAATTATAATTAATTTTTGGTAACATTTTATACTTACAGCTGGTTACTCAGAATGTTTGTTCTGTCTATCCCATATCCTGTCTCGGCTTGATGTACTGGTTGCATACTCTATAGCTGCATCGACGGCACCCTTTCCATACTGTCGGCCGATCATCACCGAAAGTATTGACGAACTGGAACTAAGGGATGTCAGACATCCCTGTCTAGAGGTCCAAGAAGGAGTATCTTATATACCCAACGATGTCGTCTTTAAACGTGGTACGTAATAAGCCCTCCATGACTCATGGGTAATCAGCCATTAGAATGGCAAGTAATTTAGATATTTTTTATAAGAAAAAAAAAGAAGTAAGGAAGTTCGATTGCATTTCCACATTTTTGTGGCAGGCAGGAATGGGCACGCAAGTAAAATTATAGTGTACGGGTGCGTGAATTTGAATATCGGACGTGTCATTTATGAAAACATATTTCATTGTAGGGACAATTTACAATAGGCCCAAAGAAAACTTATAGTGTATGTGTGCGTGAAGTTGAATATCGCACGTGTCATTCATGAAAACATGTTTCATTGCAGGCACAATTTAGAAAAGGCACGCAATATTACAGTAATTAAAGTGTATGTGTCATGTGCATTTGAATATCGAACGTATCGTTCATTACTACATTGCAGGCACAATTTAGAATAGGTACGCGATTAACTCACGGTGTACGTATGCCTGTGAATTCGAATATCGAACGTATAGTTTATAGACACATTTTCGATCGCAGGCACGATTGATTGATTGATGATTGATTTGAATATCGAACGTGTGTTCGATCGCAGGCACAAACATAATGCACATAGTGACGGGCGCGAACATGGGCGGCAAGTCGAGTTGGATGCGGGCGTGCGGGGCGAGCGCGTTGCTGGCGGCGGCCGGGTGCGCGGTGCCGGGCCGGGCGGCGCGCCTGCCGCGCCTGCGGGCGCTCGCGGCCCGCGCCGGCGCCGCCGACAGCGAGGGCCGCGGACACAGCACCTTCATGCTCGAGATGCTCGAGTGCGCCGCCATCCTTCGGGTAACACGGCCTTCTTTTGTTACCTGCCTTTACACGACCGGTACAGTATGAATTTTGTACGTCACCGTACAACCGTCAGCGTTTTACACCGATCTCCATTCTCGTCTATATGATTCCCATTCAAATGATTTTTAAATTTTTTGACAAACCTAGATACCTTAATATAATACTTGCAAATAAAGAGTGATCATAAAAATTAGTAAAATTCGTCACACACGATTGCGCTCGCTAGTTTTCTCGTGCTAAATTGCGTGCGTTCCTGATCGCTAGTGAAAGAATGTATCGTGTAAGGGCAACAAGTGAATGGGAATGGAAAATTGCACCTGCCCGCGCTAGCGGTTTAGCAGTGCTATACCGCTATAGAATCGAATCCGTGACCAGTGTGCTAAATTAGCACACTGGTCACTCTCACCCACACTGAGGTACAGTTTAGATAAAGTCGTTTGCATGGGAACAACAAGCCTACGGAAATAGAAGGTAATAGGGAGTTTTTTTTATTGGGGGTTTGAGCTAATGTCAGGTGTTTGGAACTGCGACCTACATAGACCCACTGTGCTCAAGGGACAAGAATTGAAGGATATTCTTAGGAGCGATTGTTTTTATCTCCTTAGGATAGTGTAAGCTTTCGAAAGGAAATATTTCGTTTACGCATGAGTGGGCTACAACCACATAGGATGTGTAGTGGCTTTTACTCTTCAGCTTGGCAAAATTTAACAGGGACTTACAATGTTACTTATACCTATGAATTGTTTCACTGGATGGCAGACTGTCAACGTACAGTCAAAACTACTTATTGTAGAAAGCCTTCACTAAACAAAAGTTTTCATAACTTATTTGAACGAAGTACATGTGGTGCCGTGTAGGTAAATGGAGCGAAAAAGGCTAATTTAAAATAAAACGCACGTGGTATTTAATGTATTTATAAAATAATGCTAATAATACAATAATCTTAATAGATTGTTTCATAAAGAGTAATAAAGTAAGAACAATTAAAGATTTGCCTTGCAAAATGCGTATATAGTTATTATTATTACGATAATAAATACGAATTGCGTATGTAACGAATTGCGAGTATAACTAAATGAGGCGCTATAGTGGAAAACTGCGGATGTTACGAAACATACCGCATTTCTACTAAAAACATTTCAATTCTGTATAATAATAATATAAATTTACGACTAGTATCAGATGAGGTTGTTATAAACGATGTCAATTGTCGAATCGTATGGTCCATGTAATATGCTTATTACGATAGTTGTATTTTTAACCTACCTACCGGCGTTTCTCAGATTAATTTGGCTTTGGCTAACGCTGTTTCATCGGAGTCAATCAGAAATATAATTTGGTACCCAAAATTGCTGAATTGTTAATCAACAATCAACCATATTGATCAATCGATCAATATTGAGCATCCGCCTGTGCTAATGGATGAGCTATAATGATGCTTCTCTAATAGCGCTAAGGCGCCAGTAGAGAAGCATCTGCATCACGGACATCACATTATCATGTGACACCCGTAATTAGTCCTCTGTAATTGCAATACATGAGGGAAATTACGTCTGTGGTGCAGTTTATGTATATAGACAATGGTTGTAACTTACCTGTCAGTTTGTTTGCTATTCCATACTAATTTTATAAAGCTGAAGAGATTTGTTTGTTTGAACGCGCTAATCTCAGGCACTACTGGTTCAAATTGAAAAAATATTTTAGCGTTGGATAGTCCATTTGTTGAGGAAGGCTTCAAGCTGTTATAACAAAATAAACTTCAAGATTCCAGCCATGTAACAATTTGTTCTTACTAAAGACGACACATTTAATTATTAGCGTTTAGCGACTTTTTTGAATACTACCTATGTCCTAAAGCCATTATAAATCTTGTTATTAATATTATAAATGCGAAAGTTTGTGAGTATTGATGGATGTCTGTTACTATTTCACGCAATAACTACTGAAAAGATTTTGATGACACTTTACAGTAATATAGCTTGTTATACTTCAGAATAACACATAGGCTATAATAAAACAACATATTATAGAAATTGGGCGAAATTATAATGTAAAAATGTCAAGTAAGAGTGATGCAGACGAAGTTGCACGGGTCGGCTAGTTTAATATATCAACATATGAAGATTTAGTATGTTTTAATTTCATTAAGCGTAAATAATAGTAAAAATATTATGATTCAAATCAAGGATGGGTTTGCATTCAATGAAGCACTAAGGATTAAATATATATAGTTTCTTTCTACTTTACTTGTCAGTGTGACCATCAGTTCTGAACAGTAGACTGATTAAATGTGTTCTTGTGATGATAATGATTATCTTAGCAATTTTTGACAAAGATTCTCCAAATTCGCTTAGAAAATACAATTCTCCTGCTATATTTCTTATTGAGGTGACATTTTATTATTGTCTGATAGGTTATATCTTGTTAATATTATTAAATTTACAGTTTTACAATATTTCAGACTGCTACACCGGATTCCCTAGTGCTTATTGACGAATTGGGACGGGGCACGTCGACTTATGAAGGCTGTGGTATTGCTTGGGCTATAGCTGAGTGAGTAAACCATGAATAATAAATCAAAGGAACCATAACTAGTGATTTTAAAAATTATAACTACAGTTGATCAAACGTGTAAGTTATTGTACTCGAATGCTGAAGATATGAATGATTTAAAAATGTTTTATGCTTGTGTACAATTAGGAAATCGAATGGATATGGAATATTAGAAAAAATAGTGAACAAAGGTATTCAATTACTAACAGTATGAGGATTTTTTTTTTTTTTCAAAATAATAATAATCTTGGTAGTTATCATGGCACTAAGATATTATTTTTAAATTGTTATGTTCTGAGAGAATGTTATCTAACAATGGTGTTTCGCATAGCGTGACGTAATGCCTGCTGATTAGTGTTCACTGTCACGTGACTGATTACATTATGTTTACCATATATCTTTAGCAAAAGTAATAAATATATACCGCATTTTAGCGTAACGTTAATCTGATTTTAATTATTGGGGTCCTATGAATGTACCATATCTATATGGCGATATCTTATATTAAAATATGGTGGATATAAATTTAGCAAGACCAACCACAACCTGACTCAACCTGACCCTTGTCTAAGAACTACAATTGTTCATTGTACCCTGTACCTTTTTGTTCGTCACGTCGCTGTTATCACTTGCATTTTTGTATTATTATTTAAGCATCTTTTATCATAATGATGTGAATGCGACATATCAGTAGGCATAAGATATTCATCTATTATTTCAGATGTACTTTTCTGTCTTTACAATGAATTAAACACTAAGCAATTTGAAATTTCTGAGCTACACCTACTCTACTTACCCTTCGCTGTTATATATGTACATGCACATAGTGCTTTTGTAATCGAAAAATATTGGTCTAAAATTATCATTCTTTTAACAAGATATTTCTAAGAACTGTTTGAATAATAAAATGTAATTCATTGTCGCGATAGTTGTATAGGTATTATCTTTATGATATATGTATTTTATTTTTGTTCCCTTATTGCGACATTAAATAAGTAGTATTATATTATTATTATACGGAAATAATGGAACAAAACCTTATAATATCCGATATTCCTATACAAGTATGGCGACAATAAATTATACATTCTACACTTCATTATTCTCTATCCCTCCACTATTTTATATTATCGATAAAAGTTATGTTTAATTTATTGACAGGGAATTGGCAACGAAATGCCAATGTTTCTGTCTATTCGCAACCCACTACCACGAGCTGACTCGACTGCCGAATCTTCACCCTGGCGTTATCGTTAACTCCCACGCAGAAGCGTCCGTGGTTAACCAACAGTTGGTGTTGCTACACAAGATATCGCCCGGGCCGGCTACACATTCTCTGGGTCTTCATGTCGCTAAACTTGCTGGTCTCCCAGATTCTGTGGTTAAGGTAAAATACAATTCAATTCAAAATATTTTTATTCATGTAGGTCTATTACAGACTCTTATGATATGTCAAAACTACCGTCAGTTCGGAAAGATTTCGAGATGAGAAGAACTGACAGGAAATTCTTTTAAAATAAATGTTGTACAATTATACAGATCCATTTTTAAATTCAAATGTGGGAGACTAATGACCAACAGCATAGGTTATTGCAAAAGTAAATAGTGTTCATAATCCGTACAGTACAGTTTGTTATACTTTATATAAGCTGTCCTATAAATGTTACGACAGACTTACGGGGAACATAAAATTAAGGACGATCAACCTAATAAGAAATGATATTACTGAAAAAAATTTTCACCGTTGACGAATGAAATTATAAAGTACTGTACTGTAAACTTTTGTAAAATGTTTATTTTATCGGAGTTCCATATTCATCAATATTATGTTTGAATAAGTATAGTTGATCAATAATAGTAATTTAGAATATTAGAAATAACTGCTTAGTTGGTCTCATCGAATTTTAGCGATGTAAATTGTTACGTTTAATGACACTGATCTCCGATCTTATTTAAATAAGTTTTAACATCATGTATGCATGCATGCATTGCGAGATATTCAATAAAATAGTTTTTTTACCTCGCCATGTTTATTATTATACGACAGACGAGACGACCTTGGTGGTCTAGCGGTCTGGCACACCGCTTTACGACCGATGGCCGCGGGTTCGATTCCTCCCACGGCACAAACATTTGTATTCATGAGTATTATTGTTTGTATCAGTCTGGTGTTTTCTATTCATATACAATATGTATGTATTTACAAAAAAAAAATATCTATGTATATGTATCAGTTATCTAGTACCCATAACACAAGTTTTATCTAACTTAACTTGAGTCTAGATGTCGCTGTGTGAATTGTCCAGAGATTATTATTATTATATAAATAACGTGTTCGCGCCAATATTCATACTTAATTTGTTAATAAATCAAATTAATATCTCTCATCGGTTCATCAGATTCGGTTATTTCTTTTTATTTTTCAGTATGCCGAAACCAAGCAAGCACAATTGGACACTAACCTGTATGATATAGAGACGGCACTAAAATCACAAGAAACATCAGAAGGTCAGCAGATTATTACGAACTTTTTGCTGAATTGTAAACAAATACAAGACTCCACTGCGTCAGATGAAGAGGTGATGAAAAAAATAAACAAACTGAAACGAGAATTGCTGCAACAAAATAATGATTATGTTCGGGCAGTGATGGCATAATGTTGTTTTTTATTTTGTAATAAAATTCTTATTTTATATATTCCTTTATTTTCATTGAGGTAAAATAAAAGCCAGAAGTTAGTAGTAGCACAGGTTCTTTCTTTTTTTATACTACTATAGTGGCAAACGTGCATACGGCCCATCTGATGGTAAATGGTTACCGTAGGCTACGAACGCCTGAAACACCAGGGTATCACGTGCGCGTTACCGACCCTTAAGAAACCTTAATATAATTTCCTGACAACGAATAATATAATGTACATAACCTAAATGATAAAAATGTAACCATACGTTGCGGAATATTATTACTTTTGTTAAGAATATTCCGCAACATATAGTTACATTATCGTCGTCGTAATTTTTCCTTTAAAGTTTTAAATTTACTAGAAGTATTATTAAAATTTTTAAAAGTATTTAGATAATTATTAAGACGGCGTGGTTAATTTAATTGACTTATTATAAAAGGAGGCAATTCGAAATTCTAATTTTGAAAAATGCCATTTTTCTATTTAATGGTCGATATGGTTGCGTTATCGGCAGATGTACGCTTGCTAGTATATCATCATATCTTGTCTATCAGCGGAATAGGAGTAGGAATGAAATAAAAATATTTTTGTACAATTAAATCATTTTAATCTTATAATTTTAATCTAACAATATTTTAATAATTCTATATAAAACAATTTAATATTTTTATTTTATCTTTGATTATGTTCGATCATTCATACTACTAAGAATGACTTAAGTATGTAAATGTCAAAACAACCAAATAACTTTTCGCCAGCATTACTAGTCCAATAACATTTTGATTTCAGGTATTTGTGGACTTATTTTTATATATTGCGCCAAAACTGATCTCATCATGGTTTAAATTAAAATGTTATTGGACTATATGCCATTCATCACAATTTTAAGTACCTACAAAAGTACTGAGGTTCTGCATTATTTCACGCGTTATCTAGTTTGCAATATTGATCGAAGTAATTACTTCACAAACTTGCGAAAGTAATGTAAGTACACGTGCGTGTAGTACATTAATTTCTCAAGTAGGAACCATTAATGTAATACATAATTCGGCATCTACGTATTATAGGTAACAACACGTTGTTGCACAGTACTCAAGATTACAAAAAATAAGCGTTTTCTTTCAATTGCCGTTAGGTTGCGACCGATAGTGGTCGAGTCAATGATGTTTAGACTAAACCGCCAATTCTGGCAACCAATCATGCATCGATATATACAAATCGCGACTTTGTCCGCGTGGAATTTAACACTTTTGAATAAGAATATATAAAATTAAAATAAAAGTTGCCCAACAGACGTTGCAATTTTATTTATTTGTACAGGTATATATTAATCATTATTATTATTATACAAATACAACAAACAAATTATTTTAAAACACATGTGCCTTTACTGTAATGGCATCTCAGTGTTAAATCTGACTACAATACGTAGGCGCTAAATTATATCTACTAAATGCAAGTAAATATATTTCAAAAATATTCTTACTGTTCAAATTCACAAATGCTTTTACAGACAAAGATACACCTCGTTAGTTTTAAAAAAATAGATTTTACTGATTACACTTCATGAATAATTAAAAAATTTACAGGTAAAACATCAAGTTATGCTGAAATATGCCGACGCAAGAAAAGTATCACATTACAGAAATCCTAACTAATCCCAGACTACCCATCAATCATAGCAAAATTAAGCTATATCCTTAATTAAAATGATTGATTGATATATTAGGGCTTGGTGTTTATGTTATGTGACTAATGAAGAGTTATTTTGAATGATGTACTCAGATCGAACAGCATAATCAAAAATGATTATGCTAAAATATTTAATTATGACATCATTTCAGATCATAAGTCAGATTAGATCGCCAGAGCCCCGTTCGTTATTCAGCAGAGTGCACCAGTGGCAGGTGAGGTTGACTTTGCCCAAGTGGTGTTAGGGTCGGGCACTTACACCCCAATTGATTATCTTAAAAAAATCATTAGATTAATTTGTAAATAATACTTATGTAACCGTAAACTTTTTAATTAAAATACTTTTGGCCTTGTGGCTATTCTTTTACGTATATGACCAAACTCCATGAAATGAACAGTAAAATTAGTTATCAAGTATTAATATGTCAATCAAATTTTTTATTTCAAGATCGGCAGAAATATTTATAAATCGAACGTAAACATTCTGAATATTCTATGTGTATCTTTTATCTATAAAATACAAATTATTACAAAAACAAATTTTATAAGTTAGATATTTATATTATACAGTAAAAACATATATAATAAAGTAAGTAATAAATAAAGTAGCATAGTACAAGTTACAAGTACTGTTTTGTAAGCAGTACCAATCAAAATTACAACCTCAATAATTTTTCATTTGAATTAACTTGGTAGGCAGGCTACTACTTTACTTTATTCTCATCCAATTTAGATATTAATTCTTGTATATCGATCTGCAAATATGTATCTACCGTCATAATATTTTTATGTATATTTACATAGACCTAATAATGTGAAAAAAATTAAACACGGATAAAGCCAGGTTCAGGGCATACAAAAACTTAATTAATTAATAAAATGAGAATAATAATTAAGGGTAATCTGCCTTCTCTATTAAATTAAATGTAATTGATTGTATGTTGAAATATCCATTAAGATATTTACAATATTATTATTATACATTTTTACATACATTACAATATTAAATCATAAATAATATAATCAATAACTAATAATTATTATATTACAAATTTATTTTATAAAATATTCTGTGTAAGGATGGTGATAAAAACATGTTTTTTTTATAATATTTTAAGATGCATTGATTAAATACAAATGTTTTCTATAAAATGTTACTTCTATTGTTTCGCGTTTAGTTCACGTAATATAGTTTAAGGGTGTCTACACGAATTTTTTAATCGTAATTGAAGTGTTTAACCCATTTCACGTTTCGACTAGGTTGCACTAACCGTATTCATGTCATGCTATGATGTCACTCTTGAAAACAGGAAAAGTAGTTCGTTCAACAACCTTTACTGGACTGTTCACTGTAACTCACGCTATACTCACTATATAACCGAACCTCGTCTAAACATATTTACCACTGGATATTTCTGCGTGAAATTCAACGATAAAGCTTAGCCAAGGTTCGGTAACATCAATCAATATGTGTACGTGCCGTTAATGATGTAAGTCGCAAAGTTACTATGAATAATCTATCTACGATAGTTAAAACTATTGTCACGCACCAAAGTGACATCATAGTGAAGCCTTAAACACGGCTAGTGCAACCTAGTCGAAACGTTGAATAACTTAATACTTTAATAACCATTAAATAATTCGTGTTTAGACCCAACAAACCATATTGACATTATGCCTTTCATTTGAAAAAAGTAAGATTGAATCTAAGTGGAATGATTATTCTTAGTAAGGTCAATATTTTGTATTGTAGTGTGCGAAAAGATGGCTAAATATATGCACCGACCGTGGTCGAGCGGTTTAAATGATAACTTTCCGCAATTTTAAATTTTATCGTGGTGAGATAATTAAATTGAATACAAACCAAAATAAGGGGTCCATAAAAATAGACTAGCGAAAAATACCTATTACAATCTACAGAGGCGATAGCGGTTGTGGGGCACGGATTAATTTCCGCGACGCTAATAATCATAAATACACTTCATCATTAAGTGATATATCGATGAAGGATCTTTCATTGTTTGTACACCTTTTGTGAATGCAGTTTCAAGGCATTCGGTGTCTATGCTGTTCCACGCCATTTCACGAAAAATATAACCGGACTGTGCTTTGTATCGTTACGCGGCATATTGGGCACTTGTCAGTTGATAATGCGCATTTTGCACAGGCACATACGTGTCCACATGGAATGATTACTACATTACATTCATCCACATAACATACTTTACATAATTTACTTGAATCTTCAGTCTCATTACTAGTAGTGTTTGTAGTAGCTGCCGATATTTTTTCTGGTTTACTTGGTGCTGTCTCAATTTCTGGTTTACTTGGTGATGTCTCAGTTTCTGGTTTACTTGGTGCTGACGCCTGCGATGCGTTATTCTGTGGCGCATTTAAAACTCTTTGTACATAATCTCGCCCCTTAACTGTATTAAGAAAATAGCAGCGAGAGAACCATAATGCATGTTGTTCCCATGGTACATCATCTTTCTCCCAATCCTTAAGTCCACCATCACAGAAATAGCACTTGGTTTTGTCGCCTGTACCAGTGTAATAGAAACCAGCATCAGCTAATTCTTCCGGTTTCTGAGGCATGCTGCGTGGCCAATCATCAAAAGAACGCAGACGAGCCGGATATGTTTGGTATTGGGGATGAACAGGCGTTTGTTTAGTAGGCAGAGCTCTCGTACCACATTCATCACGTCCACTCGTAGAAGTCGAACCAGAGCATAGATTACCCATACAAGGTGGTTGTTGCACAAGATTGTACAAAGTATCTGTGTTGGATTTCTTGAGTAGCAATGGACATTGTGGTGACCATCGCTTATGATCTAATACAGGATCATCTCCCTCTCTCCAACTCATTATCTCTACATTACAATAAGCACAAATTACTTCATCACCACGACCCTTGTAGTAAAATCCACATTGTGCAAGTTTCTCTGGAGACAAAAATGGGACAGGCCAATTAACAAAAGATTTTAATCGTTCTTCCTCTTTTTGCATATCCACTGATGTGCAAAAATTAAACCGATCGCGGTTGTCAATTCTATCAGTAGACGGCGTGTTAGGAGATGTTGGTAAAGACAGAAGATAGAGGCTTTCTTTTTGCTTATTATCTGATCGGTTTGATTGTTCGGAACAGTTAAATTTATTTCTGTTATCGTTGTCATTAGATTGTGAGCTAACAGCAGAGTCTGAGGACGATGAGCTAATAGCAGAGTCTGAGGACGATGAGCTAATAGCAGAGTCTGAGGACAGCGTTGGTGATGGTGGCGATGTGGATTGCGGAGAAGACTTGTAGATAACCGACAAATCCAGATTCGGGAAGTTTTGCACTGCAAGAAATAAAACAAATTTGATTTAGTTTAGGTAATTATTAACGCAGCAGCGCGGTCATCTGTTAAGATCAGTAGACAAATACAAAAACATTTAATAAGTTTAAAAATTAATCGGGAGATTTAAAAATAAATATAAATTGAGAAGATTATAAATTGTACTGTAGTTGTATTGTAGTTCACCATCTAAAATACAATTTCGATTTTATCCTCTTTCGATAATATCCAAAATTAGTATACAGTAAGGCACAGTGCGCGCAGTGCCAAAGCAATATCAAAATTCAAAAATGTTGTTTTGTGTGTGTATATAATATGTACTTTGGGATCCCCAATAATTGCACATGGAGACTCGACGCCGCACCACGTTGTTAATCCGTTTATTAATTGATAATGGGTAGGTAAATATAACATGTTTCGGATATATTGGTTTTTAAAAAGTTACACCATGCCAAAACTTGATTCATGAATTTGAACTTTATTTCATCAGTGTATGTACAGTTATGAATATTGTCACTGTGTTTTGAGTCGGTAATTTAATTTGTAAAACCATTACAATTAACCCTGTAAAACTGAAACAGTCGAAATCATTACTTACCCACCCATTACTAATTAGTTTAAAGTTTATAGCTAGGTTATAGGTTATAGATCAATTATATTTTTATCATAATTTATTGTATAAGTATGTTCTAGGAGAACGCCTATGTTTAATAAATATGAAAACATAGCGACGTGTATTCATTCTACAGTCCATATAACAAGTCCTCGGGCAGCCGGCCCGGTTGGCTGCGTCATTACATTCCATTCCAGCATCCCCGCCTCTCGCGCTTTCCCCGCTCTAGGTGCATTCAGTGCGCATGCACTCAGTGCGACCCACAATCAATTTTTCACAATCCGACCGTATACAAAATTTTTATAAATTGAGTTTTGCTAGTAGTTAATTAATTGTGTCCTGATAAAACAGAAATAATTTTAAACTACACTAAGTCATGGTCTACTAAGAGATCATTGTTTTTTACATTTTAATGATGTTGTTATTACAATATTATTAATATTAAAATCAATTAACATTGTAATAACTGGAACAGTCTATTCACATATTTCTATATCTCACAAATATTAATGAATATTCGGACTGTACTCTAACAAACAATTTGGGTGCCAGGCTGCGTAGAATGTACCGATCGATATTTACCATTATTCCGTCTGCTGTCCATTAGGATAGGCATTTTAGAAGATTCCATACACATCAACTTATTCACATAATTGAAATTCACAGGGCAACAAAACGATTCACTGAATTTAAACATGAGGTTTAATTTAATTTCTTAATTTTGGATATTGTGAACGAATTGAAACGACCATCGTTTGGTACTCGAATGTTGTCGTATTGCCTCTAGCAACGATAACAATAACTAACCCTACTGCGCATGCGTACTATAGAGGCATAGACAGAGGGTTCAGAAAGCAACGAGGGTGCGAGTTTGGCACAGCTGTGTGGGGATGTGGACACCTTGATATTATGTTCTATTTACTTATTAATCAAAAATTGTATTCGCAAATAGTTTTCATGCAATATTGCATCTACCTATTTCGAAAACATAATGAAATACAGAATAGTAACAGATGTCATGTTATGTCAGTCATGTTCAAATGCATACATTTGTACTGAGATTTTAATATTTAACACGATAGTATTTATATCTTATTAAAATAAAGATAGACCACCGCGACCGCGACACAGTCTGAGCCTATATAACGCGCATAGTAAGTATTCTTAATATCTAAGGAGTGAGAGGAGGTCGGAGGGACGACGCGGGAGAGTAGTTCTCAATCAGGCGGGCGACTAGTGCAACGTTGCCGCACTGTGCACGGCCGGCTGGATTTCATTCATATTTGAGACACGCCGTTGCCGTTTCAGCGGAAACCGCGACCACACAGCGTAAAAAGGGCCTATGGAATGTGGCAGCACTGTGCGGTGCGGGGCAAGTCTAACGCCAAATAAAAAAGTAGTAAGGAATGCGGACAGAACTTACATTATATTTTTTATAACAATGCTTGATAGAAGTATTAGGATACATTTTATAATTATAATATGGCATAGCTTTGAATAATGATAAATTATTTGTACATATTACTTACTTATTTACCTACCTACGAACCTAGTTTTTGCATACCTACATATGAAAAAAAAAGGATACAGCTACAAAGTGTCAGTTTACAGATAATGTTTCTTAAAATAAATCATGGTTCAAGGTTCTCGATGCGGCGTTCGCCGCAAAGAGAAAATGAAATTCAGCATTGTAGGCACCAGAGTGGCGAGAGGCGGCGCCTCGAGATGCGAGAGCAAGCGTGGGGAAGGGGACGGGGCCACGTTCTCATGCTATGGGTGGTCGACGATCGGCTTTCGAATTCCAATGCCTCGCTTGTAGCGCCTACGCGCTAGCTAGACCATATCTATCCACTGGTACCTATCTATTAGGTCACTTAAAACATTTTTATTTACCAAAATATGAAATGGGTGAAAATACAACTTTTCTCAATGAAAAAGGTCATGTTTAAAATTGTTCATGAATGAATTCGTGTTTGATTCTACAAAGTAAACAAAAGTCTATCTATTTACCGACCATGCTTTATCATAAAACTGAAAAAGAATAAAAAAATAAACTAAAGTATAGACGCCCGGGAATTTCAGCGGAAGCGAACATCCGCCAGATGGGTCGTATTCATACCAAGAGGATATGGATGGATAATAGTAAACAATCCTTTTTACGTCTTCATTACATACGGACATACCTACCTACATCTTGTAAACCATTGATAAACAAGGCGGTTCCACGTTTTTAGGAAAGAAATTAAAGTTTAAAAAATGTTTCTAACTCCACATCATATCATGTTTAGTTGCGTTAGAAACAATTTCACCGCATTTAAATTCTACAAGTACGACCACCTACTTCGTCTGTACAGTATACCTATGCCGCCGACTGGCTATATTCCATACGCGTGTTACTTAGGTAGGAAAAAACTGCTATAATTCCAAAAAAAGAGTACGTATGTAAGAATATTGGTTTCTATCGGACTTAAATGTATAATTTACGCATAGTCCTATCTGACTCATCAACTTGTAGTCAAGTCACCACCTATATTGTCTAAAATTAGTTGAAAAAATACTTTGTCCTTGGGAATAACAATCTGATTTAGGTAAAGAAAAATCAAAATTAAGATTGGCAAGACTTTTTTTCTATATAATAGAATTATTACTATTAATATTTAAAGTTTTGTAGGTTATAATTTATGTATGACGTGGCATCTGACGTTTGTAACGTTTATCGCGTAAGACAACTCAGATTAAATAACCACAGATTAGATTAAAAAAGAAATGCTAAAATATATTTTCAAAGTATTGCTTGAATTTGGTATGTTTTTCATTTTAAAATGTTCTCTTTTTATTTCTATCACATGACTAACTATAATAAATATAAATAGTATAGACTGAACTGCTCTAAACTGTAACATACAAGATCATTGTAATAAAATAACATAAACAGGCTAGCTTTTGGTTCAATACAAGTACAATACTTAATTTTTAAACACAAGCTTAGATCTCAACCAAACAAATTACCATTAAATTGCTAATTTATTGATTCAACCTCCAATAAGAATTAGATCCTAACTAATGTAGGTATGAAAATTGTAATTCAAACTTTGAATGGGTCCATAAAAATATATCTAAACTGCTAATTACATACATGCTTTGACAATACATGTACTAAACTGGTTTTCTTTTAACTTATTAAACATATAACTATACCACCCTAATTATCTAATTAGAAAAATAAAATTTAACTTACTTATAACATTTAGAACTCCTACATAATATTAAAAATATATGTGAGTTTGTGTTAAAACGGAATAACATTTTAGGTGTACTAAATTAGCAAGGTCATACTAGTGCCAAGAGGCCCCAATGGGTATTGTACCCATTAAAGTAGCTAGCTAGCTAGTTGGTATTCAAGGTCAAATTCAACAGCAGCCATTTCTAATATAAAAAACAGGCCTCTGGCATCATTAAGCAAGTGGTCTGAGCATAATGAATATATGTAGTAATAATTGTATATATATTAGTTAGGTTTCTACATGAGTAAATATATTTTAAATATACAAGGCAAACAAACAATGGAAAATACTGGTGTCTGGAAACTATGCCTTTATTATTTTTAGAAAGTAGATGACTAGGAATAAAATATAATGTACAATTTCCCCCTAACCAAAAGTACTTCTTTCCATTAGTAGTTAACTCAAGTTAAGATAATTTCTGTAAAAGAATAAAATAAAAATACCCAGATATTAACAGTTTTTTAGCTTACTATGTATAGCCTATAAAAGTTACAAGATTTTATTAATTTATTTAAAATTGTAATTAAAACATTTTAATTACAATTACTAATATAATTATTAGAGTGAGAGAGAGAGAGAGATTTTACTTATTTTATTTCATTAATAAATATAAATGCTTTTGATATAATAAAATTAAATATTTAGTTTAATGTTTGTTCTATAAAAATAAAGTGATATATAGTGTGCATGTGTTTTACTAGATGGCGTTGAATGTTGCAGTCTTACAAATCATAATGTGTTGAATAATTTGATTCTATTGTCAAATTGTCTAAGAACTACGTAATCATAGTGCAAGTTATACAACAATCATAAGGAAATATGTAATAAAAAAATAACATTAGTATATAATCAATCAATAAAAGAAACATTCTGCTCAATTTATGTACATTCATTCATAATTTAAGAGCCACACTTTTGTCGGTGCAACCTATGCCTATTACAAGTATTAAATTACATTATTTTTTAATATTCAATATGTTTTTCTTTATCTCAATTAATCTATTTATTTGGACCGAACAAAATTTACAATAAAATGTTTAAAACATTAAATTTAATTTCAGATTATTATAATAGTATTAATTAAATAGAAGAGGAATAACAATATATATTTAAATAAAATATAATAAGGAACTTATTATTGATCTTAATCAAGCATCAAACTGAACTTAGCAGGCAGTTATTTTATAGTATTAAACAGTTGGTTAATATAAGCTGAGTTATAATAAACAGATTATAATGCATCTACTTTTGTATTGAAATTTGCTTCAATAATTTATATCGTATTTTAAAACAGAGCTAGAAGTTTGATGAAAAATGAGAATAGTATTGGATTGTCTTTGTTTTTGTTTTTTCATTAAAATCATTAAATGTATGTTATTTGTTCCTTTTACTGTATTAATCATACCCTAAGTATATATAACCAGACTATTGTGACGTACTCGATGATAAATCGATACCTATTATTTTTGACAGAGAGGACATAGCTAGTAAAAGAAAAATAGGGCTATGACAAGCAGACATTTTATAATCTTTGCAAACAATTACCATCTACCCAAGTCGTGGCAATAAAGTGAATAAACAACATTAACTGATAAGGAATTAAGTAAATAATAACTTGTCCTCGTTTTGTGTTAACCATATTGAACCATATGTTGAGGAAAATATTCGTTTATTACCTCCAACTGATCCCATCCTGACGGTAATTCTTTAAACTCAAACTAGTTTTCACTGTGTCCTTTATGCTTCACAATCACAAACACCCTTTAAATATATCGTTTTAATCACAAAAAATCCATGAGGACAGAACAAACAAACATATTCAGTTAGACAGACCGTACGAACACCGAGAACGCCGGAACTGCAACTGCCCTAAAATTACACACGCCTAGCAATAAATGTTGCCAGTGCCATACAATTATTTATACTCGTAACTAAATCGTATCTTAAGATAAAATAAAATAGATAATACGTAAGTAGATATATATCCAATATGCAAATTTGTTGCAATTTGAAAGAATTTTGAAATATTAATCGAACAAATCGATTGTCATTTAATAAAAACTATATTTTTAAACGATTTTAATGTAACTAACAAGAAATCAAGAAAAAAAAAATCTGTTTTGGCTAGCGAAATTGATTACAATTTGTAGCTAATATTAGTTATCATTTTGTTTTAACTGTATTAGTTTAGAGAACTTCATTTTAAAATCAATCTTAATCGTTTATTGGTACATATCGAATATTTTATGATGTCTGTTGTGTTGTAAACTTTTAAGTTAAGGGGACCTATACTTACAGGTCTATAGGTCGGTGGAAAAAAAATCAATTCTTTCGACTCAACCGATAATTTTGATTGAAATGAATAATAATAAGCCTATTAGAGAGAGCCATTTAGTCCCAAATTAAGCCGAACTTGTGTTATGTGATTAGGTAGCTGATAGAAATATTTAATCCATAATGTAAAATAATATATATCCATGTTATAAAAATAATAAAGGATTTAGAAAAAAAATAATTTTTAAATAGTATTATAAATTAAAAAATATAAGTGACGTAAAAATGTATAGAAGTTATCTAATACCAACAATCAATTTTTTCAGACCTTGCCCTGAGGAATTACTCCAAGCTGATGTGCTGATCAAATTTTACTATTTGTGATCTTTCATATAGTTCTTTATTAGTATTAAATTGCTATCAGAGAATAAGTAGCCTTATTCTCTGATGGCAATTATTTTATTAATTTATTTGGCAAATTTAGCAAATGTATAAAGAATAATAATATTAATAATTGTTTATTGAGTATCTATTTACATAGAGAGAGAAGGTAAGAGGAGCACACTATGCATGCTATATTTATTGAGTTAATTACACAGAGAGATAATGAGATTTTAGTCAATTTTGAAATATAGCATGTGACTGTGCTCATCAAATGGGTAATGGCAA